ATGTGTGTATGTATTTAATATTCGCTCGAAATGAAGAAAAACATCGTGAAACACCGACCCAAAAAGTCGACGGAGTGTGTCAGGCACAGGATGTTGAATGCCTATTAGATTCACAAAAAAATATCATGAAACAGAATCAGAAATCTGAGGCCCAGATCTAAAAAGGTCGTAGCTGATTTATTTATTTATTTTTATGACGAGATTGAGAATTGAAATCTGGGTCTAACATAGTCATATATTAGTAATTTTATATAAGTTTTTCAGGATATATAAGTTTATATCGTCTTAACTTTTAAGCGGCTAAATTAGGCATTTCGTAAGCAGCTAGCGCTGGTGGTCTTCCCTATATGGAAGTATGGACATTGATAATCGGTATTTATTGAATCGTTTTGCACATAAATCGATCATTGCAACCGGTATTTCAAATCGTTTTTCTAATACTGATTAGTCACATTTGACACATAACGTCAAGTGCTGTGATAATTACAGAATACTATCTTTCCTTGGCAGATTTTTCAAAATCGTTGTTTTAGATAGCTTTAAATTATTATTTTAACAGCGTGTATTGTTTTCATAGATATAGGCAGGCAAAATATAAATAATAAAATGGGTGTACTTATGTACGCGCGTAAGAAATTATACTTCTTTGGCATTATTAAAAATAGTTTTGGATTGCATGCAAATAATTAATTACAATTAAATAATCAAAGACTGGAAAAGGAGTCATTATAGTCAATAAAGTTCAGTTTACATTTGAAAAATTAAATATTTATTATTATTCTCTTACATTAAGTGTAACATAAATTATATTATTATTCGAATGTTGTTTTTAAATTATGTCCAATGCCGTAGCATCTTCCGTGGGCAACTTCATTCTGTTAATTTTGTTGTGCGCGCGCATCGTAAAATTTCACTCTCATCAATTTTTAATAACGCGCCTAAAGAAGTATAACTTCAAAAATAACAAACAATTATGGGAAAATAAGGAATAAGGTATATTTTAAGTGTGTGTGTTGTGGTTGTCACTGGCCCTGGCTCAGCATTATGCTGAGGAGCAGAATGTTCCACAGCGCTGGTCATTCTGCCAGAGACGACAACAGTTATTTTGCGCCTCAGAAGCAAAAAAGTAAAAATAATGTAAAATATAAGTAGTAAAAATTAACAGTGTAAGTCTTGGAAGGTTTGTGTGTAAAAGTTTTCGCATAAAATATATTTATAATAATTTATATTTTGAAATTCTACACCAACTTCGTTGTCGACACTTCCACGATCAATGAGGAATAAGATTCCAGTAATGTTCAATTGACGGAAAGGAGAAAATTTATAAAGCTTTATGCTAGGGACATAAGGTTCAAATTGGTTTGATATAAAGTCTTCAAATGCTAAATAAGTGAGAAATTGGCGACTCACTTAGGATTTATACGCGTTAGGCGAGTAGGGTTAAATATACACTTGTTAGGAATGACGTGAAGAAATTTATGAATCCAACAGTTAGTCCATTTCATTTATACTTATATACATGAACTTGTTGAAACTGGTCAAACGTTAGTGATGTTTGGTTGCAAGTGAAACTTCTTTGGCAAGCTAATTTTCACGTCTTGTTCATATTTATACAAAACTAAAACTTTAGATTTCCGAGACTTAGAGGGCGGGAAAAAGGAAGATATGTAAGGAATTTAACGAATTTAATTGTCATTAAAATATTAAGTGTCGACAATTAATACAAATTATAAATTAAATTTATTTCTTCGATAATAAAAACACGTGGCATTTTAATTTACAATTCGCCATTTGAGATTTCAATAAATTATATTGCATAAAATATATAATACTAATATTTCATAAATTCTCTTTACGAAATTTTAATTTTAAAAATAGAGTATCTATAAGGTAATTCGCCCTTCTCACTCTCTCCCAATCTCCGTCTCTATCGCTCTCTCCCTTTTCTTCGACAAAAACGCTGCACATCTTCGTGACGCTAATATTATTATTATTGCGTTTCATCCGTAAATATTTTACCCTCATGCGCCGAAACAAGTTCACTTAAAAAAACACTTTATTGGACGCAAAAACAATTACATTTTGTACATTATACACAACATACAATATGCAACGAATCATTAAGTTAAACTGTTCATTTTGGTTTGTTGTACCTTGTACATAATATTATTTTAGTAGCACTAGCGTTTAATAGGGCCTAGCCTGTATCTTAAACGCTAGTTCCTTCCAGTGTCATTAACAAATTGGTTAAGTTGTTTGTCATTAGAAGTTTATTCAGGTTATATGTTAATTGTTGCAAATGTAATAAATATTTAAATAATAAAATAATATTTATTCTCTTCACATATCAATTTAAATATAAATACAAATATGGGTCTAAAGTTTCCGTCATAATATAACATATTTTAAGTAGTTTAAAATGATTTGCTATTTTAATAAAGCCAATTATTTAATAAAAAAACCAAAGCGCAAATATTCGCCCCTGGCAACTCTGAATTGAGGATACCGCCCGAGCACAATACGGCTATAATGGCGGCCCTTTATTTTTTTTTTGCTCGATAGGGGCACAAGGACAAGCACACATGGCCAATTCTGCGCATATTGTCATGCATAACGTTTTTTATAGCGCTTAAATGTAACGTCTGTTACGAATCAAAAACAAATTAAATTTTTTGACAAAATTTACTTCACTACGCCGAAACCAAATATTTGGTTATAGTAATTGTTGTTTTCGCAGAAAATGTAAATTGTCAAACGTCTTTTTGCAAATGTATAAACTGTGTCCCCAGTTGCTGACAGCGGACAATTGAACAATAATTGAGATTGTTTTTAAATTGGACAGCCATGTTTGTTCAACAAGCATAACGTTTCGTTGTAACCCAACACGACGGGATTTTTAAACAGGTTGCAATTTATTTCCAATTATCAGTATGTTGATTATGTAAGTAGGAGGTGGGGACCGTTAGCCGAATGCGAAGTGGGAATAGAATGCTATTCATTTAAAATAGGCCATAGTATACTAATTAAGGGAACTGAGTTGAAGTGTCGCTTTTCTTGTGGAACTAATAACAAAATGTTAAATTGGATTTGAATTGTTAAGTGTTGTTCTGACAGAACGTTAAATCTTATACATTGTAACCTAATACATCTACAGTTTCTTGTGTAAGTTACAGTTAGTGGTAACTAAATAATTGAAGATCAACAGCGTTCTAAAATGTATTTGAAAAAAGTTTACTTCGACTTTGATGACATTTATAACGTAGAAAGCTATGTGCCAAGTTACTATAACGCCGCACGAATCCTAAAACATCCACTTTCTCCCATACAAAAGCTATCTTTAACAAAATAAAATAACAATTTTCCTGTTCAATATTCAAAAAGACAAGCCTAAGACTCGGGTACAGAAATCGTGTGTAAGTGTTTGGAATACAAAAGCAGAGAATGCTACGATTTGTATTCTGTTCTTACATAGACGCTCGTATGCGTATTGTAGAATTGAACTGTTGTTCTTATCTTTAAAATCTTATGCTTTTAATGTCCTTGGTAATACGTAATGTCTTTAGAATTGACCCCTATACAGATACTAGAATGCTAAATTTAATTATAAGCGTTGAGAATCAATGTAACATCAATAGTATTTTATGAAAAGTACCTACCGTACATTTATAAAATATAATTATTAAGTTGATAATTTTAAGTTTGAGTGACTTAAACATTACTTTAAACATCATAATACCTATAGCGATACAATTTATGTTATATGTATTGTTAACAACGCGCAAAATGAAAGCTGGTTTACAGCTTAGCTTAGTAATTAATATTGTAACCACTAGCGGAGGCAGTGTAATTAAAATGTATAAAAACACGATGAGACTTCACTCCCGTTTTTAAAACGACTAGTTACACAAGTACTAGTGTGAGAACCAAGGTATAAGGCGGCCAGGTAGAATCGTACTCGACGCACGCAAAGCTCGCTGCAACGGCGTATCAACAGAACATAGACGGGTTATGTTACGCGCTTTCAAAAGCTCTCGCCTTAAAATTATAACTAAATAATATTACTAACCTTCGGCGCTTTGGATCCTCGCTGCTAGCATAGACAGCAAGAGAAGCATGGACAGTTTAATCCCATAATCCGGTATTAAGTTCCACATCTTGGAGCACAACATTCACACATGGATCACACACATTTGTTTTATTCCTTTCTATCGTTTAAACACTTAATAATGCACACTTCACGGAACTAAAAGTAAGAACTGACACATCATTTTGTTTTTGAACTGTTGTTAGGTTGAAAACACTCTTGTTTGGGTCATTTTAGCGGTAAAACACGTTTAAGTCGATATAACGTCCGGTATGATCACGCGCACCCGCGTCCCGCTCGCATCTGACGGCTTTGTTCGTAAATACATAGCGTACGGTTAATCAAAATGGCGGACGAAAAGCTTGTGTGCGTGCGAGCAGCTTGCAAGAATTTCAAATTTAAAGGGTAAAGTCTTCTTTATTAATTAATTCAAAGATATATTTGTGTTATATGAATAAAATAGAATTTAATTTAAGTCATGAATTTGGTTCTAAACAGAGTTTAAGGCGTGAGAACGTTTTTACACACACATGCAGAGGTACGCGAAGGAATGTTGAATCGATAGAAAAATCAAGCAATTCAACATCGTTTGGAACTCAACCAGTGTAGAGCTTTTGACATAGTTTACCCGAAATGACAGAGATGGCGCTGATGCCCGAAACCAAGGATTGAATAATAATAATAATTGCGATGTATAATGATGCTTTTAAATCATTACGCCACTATACTTTTAATAATTATAAATTATTATAGGTAGTAGGTATATACAAAACAAGGGTACCTCATTTTATTTGACGTTGCCAATCTGTGATTATCATTTATTTGATCAATACCCGTTGTTAGTAGTTATTTCTTTTGTAAATGTAGATGCTTTTAATAAAGTTTTAAGTTTATCATTTTATAATCAGTGTATAAAATGGCCTTGTGTTATCAAAAACATCCGTTCGAAATCGAAACGGAAGATCGTTTGACGACAATAAATACGCAAATATGTGAAATCAAAAAGAAGATACAACTGTCAGGTAAATTAGATAGTAACTATTAAAATTGTCTTCTTCATTTTGTTTTCACAGTGCTATAACCAAAAAAATATATATAATGGTATCAATCGCTTATACGAGTACTGGGAATAAATAATTGCGTTTCTCTGTGAATACAAAAGAAACAACATTTAAAGCCTATATTCTAGGTTTTATAAAATAAAATAATATAATGAAAAAATTAAAACATCTTACATCTATTATGTCAAGTGACAAATTAAACATCGTCGATCAGACGGCAAAGAAGAAAAATAAAATATAAAAAGAGTTTGTATAGGAAAATATATTATGTTTTCCTTACATATATTTAGTAGAATTGAAGGTGTACATACATTGTAAATTTACCCTTCACTGGCGCCTGCGTGATGTTTTTTGGCGCCATGTATAGTTTTGATTGTATCATGGATATTTACAATGGTGTCATATATATATATATATATATATAAATATTTAACATAATAGTGATAGTTATGTCCTTAATAAATAGAAATAATAAAAGTTTTGAATAAAGATTTAAGACGAAACGTGGTTTAAAATTGTTATGTACTTATATAATGTATTCCATTAAATATTTAAAAATGAAATCCTTTTGAAATCGTAATTGGATATTATTTTAGACGGCCAAAGAAAGTCTTATTACGAAGAATATGAAGCCGAGAAAAAACGGAACAGCGAATTGATTGAATCCTTAAAGAAGGAAATAAAATTACGATTAAATGAATTACGTGAATCTCAGCAAGTTTTGAGTGGCGAAGATCCAAACGTGAAGAAATACTTGAACGACGTGTGTCCAATTGGGAACAAAACTGCTGATGAGGTAAAGTATTTGAATATAGAAAATTCTCGTGTCACGGTGTTTGTAATTAAACTCCTCCGAAACGGCTTGACCGATTCTCATGAAATTTTGTGTGCATATTGGGTATGTCTGAGAATCGGACAACATCTATTTTTCATCCCCCTAAATATTAAGGGTGGACCGGACTTAAATTTATTATTTAAACATTTTTTTTTGTTTTTTTTTCATGATACAGTAGGTATACAAAAATACATCTAACCCCATAATTTGAACCGCTCTACGATCAAACCCTATTTTTTATTTGTTAATTAAAATCTTACGACTTGAACTCTGAGAAAAATTAACAGAAAAACCTAAGTTTTCATTCATTAGCAAAATTCATCACATTAAGGAGAAACGAAGTTCGCGGGGGCAGCTAACTAGGATTAATTAGGCCGTGTCTCGTTTAAGAGCGCTAAAAAGCACGTTGGTTTTTTTTTTTTCAATTTAGGATTATACATGAATTTTAATTTTGTATTTTTTTACAGGATAAGATTTTCAAGAATTCTTAATCATGGTATATTTGAAAACCACTGTGGTTTGTATTAATTTAAAAATAGCAGTCTTTTTAAGAGCGCGACAAATGCATATAAAAATAGTTCTTCAACTTTTTATGTTGGTTAACGTGAGGCTATCTTATAACTAACCGGGTAGTCCATTTATTAGCCGCGGCAGCAAATACCTCGGCGTTCTCTCGCCAAATGCGTTGTTTGTTCTCGAAGTTTAGAGCGGAACTTGCGTTACATCGCAGGTCTGTTAGTTGTGATCAACTCGTTTTTTATGCCATTAATATAAGAGTGAACTATTCTCAATCTATGGATTCTGAAATAGTCAAACAATCCAGAATATACTCGCAAATCACATAAAAAAAAACGCTAGCCGAATTGGATTTCGAAACTTTGAGGTTCCAAAAACTAACACAGATAAAGCGCACAATCATAACAACTCATTCACACACTCACACATTCACGCATACTTAATGTCTTATAAAACATAGTTGTAACTCTAAAATTACTTTTTTAGAAAAACTGTTTTAAACATGCACCACCTACCACGGAATAATTGTTATCTAGTTACCCACAACACAGAGGATCCCTAAACTGGGGGCTCCTTTTGTCTAGAGGGCATACACTAGCGATGGATGAATTTTGTGCCAACCATATTTCTGTTATGAATAAAGTTTTTATTAAAACTGAAATAAGCCTTTTCGCAAATAAGTTGTTTTTATATGATAGGGGTAAGCGAGCCAATGAATATGTTAGTTGCTGCTTAGCCGGCGTTTGTTGGTTGTGTAAATTATTTATAGTAGCTAAAAGCTAGGTTGAGCTTAGAGACCTCCCGTAGAACAATTTTTTGCAGCTGATGACCTCAACTATCCCCTATTTGCGTTTGATCCAGGACTTTTTGACCACCCTGTAAACAGCTGTTTGTTTGCTGTTTAGATAAATAACTGACTGTAGCGCCATCTGCTGGGCTGATTTGTGAATCTTAACCATTTATGGCGCCACTCATACGCATACAAAAAATTCATTCAAATCGGTCCAGCCGTTTAAGAGGAGTTCAGTGACATACACACGTACAGTAGAATTGTAGTATTTATAAATATATATTAGAAATTTACTTTATAGTAAAATTGGAATAATAAAAAATAAAACATGAAGGGTTTGGATTAAGAAGTTACTAACTTGTTTATTCACCCAGATTAAATATCATCAAAATTAATACAGTAATCCTCCTTACAACACGGTTCTCTTACAACGCTTTTTGATATTACGCGATTTCATACCTCCATATAACGCGGGGAATTACGGGGTGAATAAACGCACATATTTCGTACATAAAAAAGATTTTTCGTAATATTCGATTTAACGATCCCCTTTAACGAGAAAAGAGAAACGTGAATCGTTTGTACATAACGCGTTATATGCAGTCATACAAGCGCGTTATGGTTTACTGTACAGCAAAACGTAAAAGCTATATTCATAAACATATCATACCATTTTAAAATTGTTCTTCAAGGTCATACACAACCTCGATTTAAAAGTAATAGAACAGAGAAAAATCTTGGACCTCCTTAAATACGAGATTGGGAGTAAGAAGAAGAAATTAAAAGAGTTGGAGAAAGAGTACGAGAAGCTGCTGATTGAAAGCACTAAGAGTGATTTGGTCAAGTCAAAAATGTCAACGAGGTCACGTAAGGTGATGTAAAATGTTACCTCTACCCATAAAACTGAATTCTATTACTCCTCCTTTACTGTGGAAAGTAGCCTGCTTTGGAACTCCTTACCTCTTGATATCAGACGAGTTCAGTATTTTAATTTACTTAAAAATCTTCTTTAATTTATCTTCTGCCTCGTTATTAGCTACTTATACGAGTATTGATTGTGACTCATTAACCATTGGTGGTTTACTATTTTTTTTATTCTACTTTATTTAAGTCATAGTGTTACATATTATTTTATGCGCTTTTGGTTAATTATTTGCACTTCTATACTTTACCCTCTGTAGGTATTTTTTTATTGGTCCATACTAAGGTTGCCTGGAAGAAATCGCTTATTAGCGATAAGGCCACCCGTTGTCTAATAACTTACGTAACCTGGTTTTTATATGTATGTTTTTGTATTAGAATCCCCACGACTGGTTAACGGCGTCTTTTAACTTATTGAATTCGACGTTTTCGTAGTGCTATTTTGGTTTTGGTTATTGGGTATACATGTCATTTTTTATGCTAGCACAATTTCCGTAACATTAGGCTTGCTTCAAGATGATTTAAGTTACTACAAAATTTCACATAATTTGAAAAAAATCCTACACAAGTGCATGGTTCAACCCCTTATTTCTTCTTTATCAATATGAAAATAGAAGAAGATTATATCATAATTATAACATCTTGTGATAGTAGCTCCTGAACTAATCAGGACATTTTGTATTATATTAGTACATTTAATATTGTAATAATATCAGAAAAAGCCAGAATTTCTGTCTTCCCATTTCGGTTCGGCTTTCGTCGTTCCTAAAACCCAATAATTTATATTAAACTAGTGGACCCCACAGACGTTGTCCTGCATGATATTTAAAGCGATTAGGAAATTAAGCAAAGTATGAAAGTACCGACTGCAGTGCCATCTGCCGGGCTGATTTGTGAATCTAAACCATTCCCAGATCCCCTTGAACACACACAAAAAATTTCATCAAAATCGGTCCAGTCGTTTGAGAGAAGTTCAGTGACATACACACTCACAGAAGAATTATATATATATATATATATCATATTCAGCATATCTCCCACTTGGAGAACGAGATCCACACAGTCTTGATCCAATGGACTGAAGCTGAGTTGGTGAAGAAGAAGTATGCCTCTATACGGTAAGAATTTTGCAAACAAGTCTTTTTTATAGAACAGTGGGCAAACGGGCAGGAGGCTCATCTGATGTTAAGTGATACCGCCGCTCATGGACACTCAATGCCAGAGGGCTCGCGAGTGCGTTGCCTTTTAAGAAGTCAAGTCTTTTGGAATCACGATTTTTGAAGTGAAACTTCTTTAGGCGTGAGGGTAAATTTTTTACGAATGAAACGCAATAATAATAATTTGCGTCACGAAAAGGGAGAGAGCGATTGAGACCGATTGAGAGAGACTGAGAAGGGCGAATTAACTTATAGAAATTCTATTTTTAATATTAAAATTTCGTAAAGAGAATTTATGAAATATTAGTATTTTATATTTAATGCAAAATAATTTATTGAAATCTCAAATGACGGATTGTAAATTTTATATATAAAAAAGACTATTGAACAAGAAAAAAAAAAAAGGAAAAAAAAAAAAAAAAGGTGACTTTAAAAAAAAACTAAAAAAAAAAAAAAAAAAAAAAAAAAAAAAAAAAAAAAAAAAAAAAAAAAAAAAAAACAACAAAAAAACAACGAGGCGGGAAAAAAAAAAAAAAAAAAAAGGGGAAAAAAAAAGAGGGAAAAAAAAGAAAAAAAAAAAAAAAAAAAAAAAAAAAAGGGGAGGGGGGGGGGGGATTTGGGGGGGGGGGAAAAGATTTTTTTTTTTTTTTTAAAAAAAAAAAAAAAAGAGGGGTTTTATTTTTTATTTTTTTTAAAAAAAAAAAAAAGGAAAAGGAGAAGGGGGGGGAGGGGGGGGGGGGTCCCCCCCCCCCGGCGGCGGGGGGGGGGGGGGGGGGGGGGGGGGGGGGGGGGGGGTTTTTTGGGGGGGGGGGGGGGGGGGGGGGGGGGGGGAAGGGGGGGAGGGGGGGGAAAAAAAAAGAAAAAAAAAAAAAATTTTTTTTTTTTTTTTTTTTGTTGTTGGGGAAAAAAAAAAAAAATATATATATAAAAAAAAAAAAAGGGGGGGGAAAAAAAAAAAAAAAAAATTTTTTATAAAAAAAAAAAAAAATTTTTGGGAAAAAAAAAGGGGGGGGGGGGTATTTTTTATATATAAATATGAACAAGACTTAAAAATTTGTTTGCCAACGAAGTTTCACTTCTGACATGTGTACTTTGTACGCACGCACTTTTATTTTATCCAACCAGAGCCTAGGTGTTTACGGTAAGATTCATTTATTATTTAATATAGAATATATTGTATTCTTAATTAATTCTATGATATTACAAGTTAAATTCAAATATTATAAGTTGTAAACAATGTCTCATATATATGTAAATATATTATTTATACTGATCAATCATAGTATGGTTTATAAAGACAAAACCCTATTCCAGACAAGCACTTATAGAAGACTCAGTGAGGTTCGAAAGCTCTCTCGCCAAAATCGAAGAACTTCTTGAGAAACAGCATGAAGAAATCACGAAATTAAAGGTATGGAATAATTTATTCTAGAGAATTCAGAAGGTTATACAAAGAAGAGACGATTAAATCGGCATCTACCGGGCAGGCGTGCCCTCCTATAAAGTTAGTCTAAAATCATTTATTAATGTAACACGATATACACTTATGAACGTCAAAAAAGAAATATACATTACATGCTTTTAATTTTACATTTACTGCCAGTTCTCAAATCAAGGGCGTAGAACGCCAATCGCCAAGTTTTTTGTTTTACACAACGTTTGTAAGGAGCTGCAACCATTACACCATGTTTCACATGACATCTTAAGTAAGTATAGGCCGCATATAACTTACTATCGGGTGGGATTTTGCCAAACGTATGTCTAGTTCTGAATAAAAAAATACCGTTTTGCTCCTTACTATACTATATTTGCCCTTAATTTACATGTTTTTTCTATTTGTTTAAGGTATAGAAAACTTCACTATAATCGTATCCCTAACGTTCGTAATAACTGATCTGGAATTATCGTAATTCGTGTGTCCTTTTATGTTATAGTTTACTGTTTACATATGTTTTAATTGCTCTGCATTGTTCCATTCGTTTTGTCTCATCACGACGTATATTAATAAATATGCAATAAAAAACAAAAAAAATGTCTTATGTATTTTAGAACTTCATGCTTAAGAAATCTTCTTTAATTTTTTTATCACAGTGAATGCCTGTAACAGATCGCTCGAAAGCGACAAGGCCGCCAAATACCCTCTTTTTTATTTAAATGTGTTTATTGTTCTATATTTCTGGGTACTTGCAACGAAGTGTTAATAAATAAATACATTAAAAAGTATTTTCCTCATAATATATTACAGTTGGTCCGTGATGAAGCAGCAGCGATGCGTTTACGGGCAACAGCAGCAACGGCGGCAGAGGCAGCTCGCGCTCATGACGCAGAGCACGCTCGGGCCGCGGAAAGAGCCTACTACGCACAGCGGTTTGAGGAGAGGAGGCGAGAACTGGAAAAATTGGAGAAACGGATATTTCCACCAGCTGGTAGACTGATTACACTAATACTTCAGTTTCCAATGATTTCGTTCACTTGTTATTCTTGTCCAGTTGTGGGGGGGGCAGTTAATTTTATTTTTTATGGGATAACGCCCTCTACTGCGTATCCTTTAACCATCTCAGGATCATTCTCATCACGTCATCATCTTCATCACGTGTTCGTTTCTATCATATCATTGTAGATAGACCTAAAGGTTCAGCATTTGCTTAATCACTCTGTTACATATCTGCTAAAACTAGAAGACTGTACCAATTGGACTTGAAACTTCAAAACAGTAGCTAATATATTTATTGAATTGCACATATTCCAGCAGAATAACGTATCACCTGGAGCAAAGAACAATACGCAAAATTGTAATAAGAAGCGCGTAAAGAATTCGAAAAGATTAGGTGTTTTGTTTGGATAGTTTCTACATCAAGTTTGGAGTGTTGTCACAATTTTCCTTTTTATTATTTTCAGTACGTCCAGTACGTCAAGAATCCACCGGGTCCATGGAAGAACCAATGGCTGAAGAAATATCACCTGCACAGCAGATGGAGGATATCTTTCAAAAGTTGATGAAACTCACTGGTAAATAAGGATCCGGCGAAAGCACTATAGAACACACACACCCTGATTCCGTCATCCCCTTTCAAGCAACGCGAGACTTAACCAGATGCCGCACACGATTTGGACAGTATTTTATTGTTAAAACAGCAAGGAAGTGGATCTCCTTCCCCCCTCCATCTTCCCTAGATAGTTAAATATGGCTTCATTTAAGTGGCGGTTAAACAGGCATCTTCTGGACAGGCGTGCCTTCCAATAGGCCGCATCTTACTTATCATCAGGATTGTAGCCAAACGTCTGCCCAGGTCCTTGAAGTTCCTAATTTTTTTATAGAACAGGGGGCAAACGGGCAGGAGGCTCACCTGATGTTAAGTGATACCGCCGCCGATGGACACTCTCAATGCCAGAGAGCTCGTGAGTGCGTTGTCGGCCTTTTAATAATTGGTACGCTATTTTATATAAATCGCTTTGTTAAGAATTTTACTCTAATAACTACTCTTCTAGGAGTCACAGAACCTGAGCAGGTGTTCGACAGATTCCGTGGTCAACGGGAAACCAGCACCCGTCTTGGTTACCTGCAGCAGACTACGGAGCAGGAAAAGTTACGGCTGGAGGAAACTCAAACTGCTCTCATGGCTGAACTAGAGGGATACAAGTTCGCTTCCGTTAAGGATAAAGATGAGTACGTCATTCTGGGTTTTATTTATGCAATAAATAAATATAATATGTCGGAGAAATATCGTCATTCCCTCGATATGTACAATGTACATCGTCATTAGCGGGCTTAGTGGGCGTCGTGTGGGTAAAGTGCGAGCACGAAAGACACGAATAATTATCGTACAAGGCACCGTTCTCGTTTTCAATCACAATCTACCCAACCACAAGTCACATAGACCTAACTTGGTCCAACGTCTCATCACCACAATGCTCCGCTGAATAATCAATCAGAACTGCCTTGCGATTCTGTAACTCGTGAAGCAGTCATTTTACGAATTGGCAGTCTGATAAGTAAGGAGCTTGTAGTTTATTGTTTATCAGAATCCCAAATCAAAGAATCCCAAAAGTGAGTTGTCCTGCATTCCCTGAACGCACTGTCAAAAGTCAGTATGGCGCCTCGACCCCACTCGAGGCATGCTCTGCTGTGATTGGTCGTAACAATATTTGTAAAGTAATGATTCTAAACTATAAAACAAATAAATAATAACAAAATAAATGTAATTAAAAAATTATGATTCTTAAAAGTAAGTAAAGGAATCTCAATCATTAGCCAAAGCAACAATAAAAATAAACGGTCAATGGATCAGAACAAATCCTGAAAATCCCAGAATTCCCTGTCATATTTTATTTTTATTTTCGACATTATCGTATTGACTTTATACTGAAATATCCTTACAGTACTAAGCAAATGTTATGTGTTTTTGAGAATAAATAATAAAAAAAAATCTTCTCTATGAACAGCCCATTGAAGCATATAGTTATTTTGGGCTGGCGATTTGAGTGAGTTGTTGCCCCACATATTTTTATGGTGCCACTGGCGGTATTGCTGTGTACCGGGTTGTGCAGCTCCTCAAAATGGTTGAGCTGCATGAGCTATTCGGGGCATGCTTGCCTCTGCTGGCACAGGCTTGCTCAGATCGATCTGGTTCTTTCTTCCAAAGACCAGTCCAGTAAATACTCTGCATTTGTTTACACCAATTTATTAATTTATTATTGTATTATCTGGACTATAAAAGAGACTAAGACCCCCGAGTTTGTTTCGACATTTCTTCTCAGGGCAGTCAGTTAGGAAATGTCGACTTCATCTAGTTTAGGATGACATTGTAAAAGTGATTTATATAGTCCTACTTGCAAGAATAAACTATTTCATTTCATTTCAATGTATGTGTATGTCATACTATGTAATTTAATTATTATATCACGCGATTCCAAGGTTGCCACTACAGTGTGTATTTAAAGTTCTATCTAAGATACGATAACATCGATATCGTTATTGAATGTTCTAGAATCTAGAGTTACAATGCAGCTGAGTCATCGGTCATCTATAAACCGATACCTTTATTTTTTAGCTGGCAGTCGAACCTTCAAGCTTACCGACTGAGCCATGGAAGCGATCAATATTTGAAAAAAATAAAAACTTTAGAGGTGTCAAGGGACACCCGGATGGAACGAAATTCCTTTCGATTAATTTATATGTTAATTGGTATCATAACAGTATGATAGATTATCTCGACACCAATCTTACGACGAAAAAAAACCCTGTTAAAACGAGGTGTTCCCAGGCGGTCACCCATCCAAGTACTGACCTCGCCCAATGTTGCTTAACTTCGGTGATCGGACGAGAACCGGTGTATTCAATGTGGTATGGACGTTGACGATAGCAAAATCGAAAATGTAAAATATAACAACTATAGCAAAAAGTGTCGTTACAACTTTTGGTCTTAATTTATTCCGTCTAGCCCCCTTTCGCAACGCTCGATAACTTCGTTCCAACAAGACTAATTTAGTTAAGTGATTCCAAAAATAATTTTCATTTCTTATCCCTACAAAAAACAGCCAACATCACGAGGTGTTCTCAGGCGGTCACCCATCCAAATACTGACCTCGCCCGACGTTGCTTAACTTCGGTGATCGGACGAGAACCGGTGTATTACAATAGCAAATAGCAGAAAAGTGTCGTGACAACTTTTCGTAAGAATTTTTTCCGTCTAGGCCCCTTTCACAACGCGCGATAAGGAACTTCGTTCCAAAAACTAACATTATACCTTTTTTCTAAAAATGTTTTTAATACTAACATTTAAATTTTTTTCTCTAAAAATATTTTTTTAAATTCTCACACAGAGGTCAAGACGAAATCCAGAATCTGAAAGCGGAAATAAAAGAAGAGGAGGAAGCTCACGATTTAATTCAGAAGGAGTTGGAAGGGCTGGAATCATTTCTTCTTGAAATGAAAAGATTGTTGTACGATCTATGCAAGATGCTCGATGTAAGCACACTTCTGAACATGGGGCATGGGGTGGACACATTTCTGCCTCAAATTGAATTTGTTTTATAGTTTTCTTTAAGTTTATATTCATGCGTTTGACTCCTGTTATTTGCCCGAACTACAGGAACCATATAACATCGCGCATGGGCAGCTCACTTACTAGCCTATAAAATCAAGGAATTAGAATCAAGAATGATAGCGTTACTTTTTTATTTCGTCCACCAAAGCGTTAAAGTGGCGCCTGTGTAATATTAGAAGAAATTTTGTGCGATGGCAACAGAATGGAACAGAGTGATGTTTTGCTGGGAATTTACTTTTAAAGTATACCTACTTGAAAAAATATGTTGGAAGTGTATTTTGTTAGTTATGTAGATACCAAATAATAAAGATTATGTTCAGTTGAAACTTGGAGCTAAGCAAAACGTCTTCAAAACCATCTTTTGCACATGCGAATAATCTCGATTCTGAATCTTACTATAGATCCAAGTTTATCGTGTAGCACATTCATTAATAAAATCTTTACAACTATCGTTTCACAATTTAGCCCCTTTTTTAACCAAAACTAGCACAGCGTCTGTGGAGAAAGAAACTTGTATACTACCTTGAAAATTGTTTTTTTTAATGGATAAATAGAAAAGTAAAACCAATTTTAAAAAGTTGGCTCCTATGGCAGTGTACCTTTAATGCTGGCAGCATTTCCTCGCGGTATTGCGATACTTATTCGTTGAGCAAGGAAAGCCCCAGCTCACCGGTACTATCTATCAGGCGCCAACATAAATCTTTAATTAGCGGCCAAAAGCTTTAAATCAAAATTGGAAGGCTTTATTTATTATTTTCGTTTATTGTTTTATTAAAATGACTATTACTATAATAATTTTTTTAATGTTATAGTAGGCAAACGGGCAGGAGGCTCAACTGATGTTAAGTGATACCGCCGCCCATAGAGACACATTGCCAGAAGGCTCGCAAGTGCGTTGCCGGCCTTTCAAGAATTGGTACGCTCTTTTCTTGAAGGACCCTAAGTCGAATTGGTTTGGTGATACTTCAGGTCGTATAATAAAAATCGTGTGGTATTGTACAGGAATGATCTTCTATCTTGCCAGGTAGTGGGAGAGCCAGCTATGCCCGAATGGACAGCCGAAGCCTGCGATATTCAAGAAATACTTGTCGTCTTAACTACAAGGTTTGAGAAGGCACAAGCTAAAGTGGAAACGATCGGCGATAAACATATTTCTCATGTCTTCATACCATCCAATGTATGTTTTTCTATATTAAATTTTATTTTCCTAACACGGAAGAGACTATATCTTGTATGCACTTTGAGTTGCCGGGACTACATGTATTGGGATGTCTAACCACCTGGTACCGCAGGCTGCAAGACTATTTCTTTTCTTATTTGAACTTACTGAAATATCCGTTCGCATAGATTCTCGTATTATATGTTGGATATTTCGTACCTGGATGTAAGTGTCTTCACATGTAATATATATAATATACATTACGTTTATTACAATCAATTGACAACAAAGCTTTAAAATACGAAAGTAAGACAAATCAGTAAGTCGAAAAATTTGTCTGGACAGGTGTGGGAAGTAAGTGGGATCCCATGCCCACCCCCTTAAAATATTCAAAACAAACAGTGGCATTTATAATTACTAATATAAATTTAGTAATAAAATGTTAAGTGATTTTAAAAGTAGAAAAAATCTATTCGCTGTTGATGAAATTAAGGAATACAGCTTTTATAAGAATTCACTTAAAATTATATTACTAAATTTATTTTAGTAATTATAAATGTATAAATATATGTATAAATTAATAGTATTTGTTATCAGATAAAATATAATTTTAAGTACCTATTGTCTTTTATCGGCCTGACAATAATTATTATGTATTAATAACTATCGCGATTTAAGCCGTATAGTAGTCATTTGCGATTTACAGAATTTATTTTCATTCATTTATTTATCGAATCCAACTAAAGAATTCGGACGAAGCTTTTGCTAGCGTGTAGTTTTGTGTGAAATAATTTAAGCATTATCTTAGTAGTAATGGCGACAAGTCCTTTGTCTTCCAACAGTGAGTCAGATATTTTTGCATATAACCAACAACAACACCTAAATTTACCATCCACCTCAGACGGCAAGTTACTTAAAACTACACCCGGATCTACAAATACTGAAACAATTGCTCTTTGTTCATGCCAACAAAAAATGTTCAATGCGAGTCCATCGGTTAATCAGCGTAAACGAAGTAACGGAGAAAGTTCATCGACGACAAAACGCAATAAGAAATCGAAAAAGTCAAAAATACGCAGTGGTGATAATCAAAAATACGGCAGACTACACAGGACCAATTTAATGAAAATACTTTGAAATGTTTCATCTCTTTGCATGTTATAAACGATCCATTATTTAAGAAGATCTTTAGCGGTTTGAATATAAACGCAAAACGAATCTTATCACCAAAACTTCTCTGACAGATTTGATCGAGGATTACTATGAACGCGAAATAAGAGCAATTAAAGATGATGAAGCAATGCAAAAAGTGTAAAAACTACTTTTACTATTTGGCCAGCAAATACTATATACATATTAGAAGTCACTGCAAACTGGTTAGATTCCAACTTATAACTTAAACGAAAGACACTGGCATATCAAGTACTCTCACATCCAAGCCAAATTGAGGTTGTTTTGAGGAATTCAGTTCATTGTGAGGAAAGGAGTTTTCCCATAGAAATTCACGCTAAATTTGGTATAGACCACCAAAAAGTTTTAATCAGTAAAAAAGGTGGTTGTAATTTAGTCAAAATGTTTTTGGAGTTTGCATTAGACATTGAAAATACAATATGTAGACAAACCGATAAGGATATTTCTCAGTTACCATCAGAACCCCAACCTTCCACATTAGATTCGAATCTAACGTTTACTACTGTTAATAGTATATCACAAAATAACGAAACAAGAATCAAGGATGTCTTTAAGCAAGTGGTTGAAAAATGCACCAATTTGTGGAATTGCATCGGTCAACAATTCAGGTCAATTACTGGCAGAACTATTGGCGAACCGACACTTAGATGGAGTAATCTGTATCATCATTTAAAACAAATTGCATCGATACAAGGTAAGATTCCTCAATTGTATAAAGAATTAAAATTAAAAAACGATTTTAATGACAATGATTTTAAATTTATCGCTGATAATTTGCGTTGTTTAAATCCCATTGCAGAGGCCGTTAATAAAATACAGGATGAGAGCTTTACTCGCGGTATGTTTCTACCATGTTTAGTGTCTTTGCGGAATAAGTTAATAAAGCTTAACAAAGTACCATTTGTTTTATGCAAAAAGTTAGCAGAAACGTATTTAGAAATCTTCGAAACGCGATTCTTGGATTATTTGAAAGAGCCATCGCGTTTCGCTCTGAATTCAGCGATTGCCGCACTTGCTCATCCCGAATTCAAGGATAATTGGATTAAATGTTTAGAACCAGAATGTGAATCAAAAATAAGAGATCTTTTTAAAGAAAAGATTGTTGAGAATATACAAGACTTATCTGAAACTTCACAAAAAGACGCCTTTTTCGATTTTGATATACTTATCATTCAGCGATGATATGTCCACTTTTACCCGATTTTGAGACGATGCATTTATTATCAAGAGAAAACCTGTTTGAGAAGAGGCTTCTACTAAAATCCATCCATATATAGGTACAGATGTCTCATGGTGGTCGGATATACCACCACAATTAATTACATTTTTAAGAACTTTGTTAGAGTTATTTTGACAAAGGAGACAGACAGACACTGTAATTAAACCTAATTATAACACATCAATATATTATATGTAGATGTATTAAAGTGTTTCAGACAATCGATTTTTTTTGTTCCCGTTGCATCTAATCAGACTCACGCTGAGAAATTTAGAACAGTTATTATCAACATAACTTTTACAATTTGTATAATTATAAAATTTATAATTATTTTACATAATTTTAAATTTTTCCGACGTTTCGCGTGCTAAACAGTGTGCGTGGTCACGGTGATACGGTAAAAACGTGTTTTATTTAAATTATTATCAATTCATCGAATTGCATATTAATGGTGTGCCTAGGGCTGCATCCGATACAGATACCGATGCCGATATATCGGCGATACTTTGAGTTTTCCGATATATCGGTATCGGCGATATTTTAATTGCCGATACAACGATACTTTTCAAATTTCGCGCTTTAAAAAAAGTAATATAAACGCGCATCTTGTTTGATCTGGGGCGTGGGAAACGAGGCACGGACTATCCCCGCGTATTCCATTTCGCTAGACACTTTAGTTGGTTTTTAACTGCTACCGCGCGTAGTATTTTTTCAATACCAAATTAAATAAAATACAGAATTACAAAAATCCTATCAATGTTAATTTTAATTATTAACAGTTATTTATATTATTTTAATTTAACTATTACTCTTAATTCTTAATTTTATTTACTAAACCTTTAATCTAATTCAAAGTTTGTGACTGTTTATATTTTATAATAAAAATTAAAAACTTTAACCAAACTTGATATATTTTACCTTAATTTAATTTGAATTCAATAAGCATTAGTATCGGTATCGGTATCGGAATCAGCGATATTTCTATAAGAGTATCGGTATCGGTATCGTATCGGCAAAAAGGCGTATCGATGCATCCCTAGGTGTGCCTAACCTTAGTTATGTTAACCTACACCTATATTGTGTAGGTTAACATAACTAAGGTTCTCATTTTATAATCTTAATATATATAAATTACGCGTCACGTTGTTTGTCCGCTATGGACTCCTAAACTACTTAACCGATTTCAATCAAATTTGCACACCGTGTGCAGTTTGTGTGTTTCGTGTGCTAACTTAAAATATAGGATAGCTTACATCTTAATTTATACCCGCAATATTTTATTGCAAATTATTTGTTTATTATTTGACAGTCACAATTCTAACAGATGGCGCTGTGTGAAAGTACCAACGTTTCACATAAGCTACAATGCCCATGACTGGTGTTGCTCTATCGTTTCCATCGAATAGTTTACTACTATGTAATATAAAAAAAACCTTAGCCACAGCAACGCTTGGCCGAGTCTGCTAGTGTAAATAGAAAGCAATTGTACCACATAAAAATATAGTAGTATAGGTACAATAGACAGTTTGTACAGATTCCAAAACTGAATAAAAATATTTTTTTGTACCTATATTTTGGTTATCGTAAAAAAACTAAAAGTCATGCTATGGTGAAACAAATCAAGTAATACTGTGAACATTTAGTGCTGTACAGTATACGGAATATATTTTTTATTTTAATTGAACATTGCATTCGTGTCACAATGTTCGTTCCCATACTCCTCCGAAACGGCTCGACCGATTCTTATGAATTTTTTTATGCATATTCAGTAAGTCAGAATCGGCTACTATCAATCTTTCCAACCCCTAAGTGATAAGGGGTGTCCACCCCAAAAAAATATTTTTATTTTTTATGATACAGCATACATACAACCCCTAATTTTCACCCCTCTACGATTAACCCCTATTTTTTATTATAGTAGATAGAAATAATACTAGAAATTATGTACATGCCAAAACAACGTATGCCCGGCCAGCTAGTAGTAATAACATAAAATCTAAAATACCTTCTTGGTCTAATATGTACTAGCGCACATAACCTAACAAACCAATTCACATACTACTTTTATCAGTAAGAGCGACTAGTAATGTATATTTATTATATTAAAGACGACAAGCGGTGCCCCGTCAGTGGCAAATATGAGCGCACGTAGTCACAGCTCTCAGAAGGAGTCAGACAAGATAGTACCAACTTATAAGGAGTTAGTGCAGAAGGAACCTGGAAAAGTGATGGGTACGTATTCACACAAACAAGACTCGTTCGAAGTTTAGGTTGGTGTTACGAAATGTCTTCAGTACTTTAGATTTCTCATAAGTACAGCACAGCACAGACACAGTTACTGAATATGTGCGACAGGTGTACGCTCGATTCTTCCGGTCTTTTTATTGTAAGTTGTGACTACAGTCAAACCTGGGTAAGTGAGAAAACTCTATAAGTGAGAGTAATAGCCGGGATCCGTCATATTAAGCTCCCAAAACCTCTATTAGCCAGAAACAGAAACCTCTGTAAGAGAGGGTCGTTTTTTCCTCATGGACCTCCGTAAGTGAGACTGCTACTTATCTATACCTCTGTAAGCGACAGTCGAGCTTGTACATTGACTACGCGGCGGTTGTTAATCAAGCAATATTCGACAAAATTTATGAGTTAGAGAAAAAAATTCAAAATACAAAAACAGAAACCGAAACGAAATTGACGGTTTTTTTAAAGTGTAAATAAGTTCTAAATAAAATAAGATATATATACTGTGACTATGTGACTTGTTATTGCTACTTACCTCTATAAGAGAGAAACACTACCCGTGGACCTGCATTAGCGAGAAACTCGGGTTAGTGAGAAACCTCTATGAACCTCTTGAACTCTCGCTTATCCAGGTTTGACTGTACATATATGATTTGTAATTAAATTCCTTTTTTCGAAAAAAATTGAGAAAAATAATCCGAATTCTTTTGACTTCTTTCAATGTCTTCTTGTAGTTTTAATAAAAGCTTTAACTTCCTGCGCTGGCGCAGCGATGGCGTCTTTCCAGCGACATGGCCGACGGTACGGCCGGTCGGTGTACCGAGATGCGTTTTTTAACACTCCGATCTTTCCCATTCTCTCAAAATGACCAGTCCAACCTTTATTTTCCTTATTCTTAAAAATATATTATGTAAACAGTTATCGTTAAAACAATACAGATTTTTTTATAAGCCTTTTTCTTGTTTTTTCAGTATCTGATGAAGAGGAGGATATCCCATCAAGGTGCTACTTGAAGCGTCAGGCTCAACTCATCGTGGACACCAAGTGCAGGAGGAAGGGTTTCCGACCACCTTACCCTCGCAAATAAAAGCTGAATAGTCAAATACCTTCACTTACTTACATCCTAGGATAACGAAGTTCAGTTCATCTTTAGCATACAATTAGGTACTTAACGATATCATTATTCATTACATTCTTTTTTTTAACCAGTACCCAAACTCTATAGTCCCTGGTCGTTCTTACCTGTATAGGGGACACGCATAGAAGAACTTTCAGCTTTTATTAAATGACGAAGGTCTGGCCGTCCTGGGCTCTTGATCTATTATAAATATATGACTAACGAGGTGTAAAAATCTTATGTACGTTGTATACTTTCATATATACAACTTTCATAACAGATATTAATATAATATTATCGTCTATTTAAATGTAAAGTCTATCGTCTAACTAAATCTGTTGTCACGCTCATTATAGGTAACCATGACAACGTTATGACAATCGAAGACGCAACACAATTTATAAACATTTACATAAATTTTTATTATTTACAATCGTTTGGATATACATATTATTTAAAAATGTTCTGTCCGCACAAAAATTCTTACCTCCAGCTGGTTTGTGCTATGAATCCACGGGTTCTGAATAAGGCTGTTGACCAGGCCATGGAGAGAAAACATTTCGATCCACACACAGGTATGCTATGAACTCGTTTAAAGTAAATTTCGAATATAATTAATATTTATGTGTTACACTTAAATTTGAGGTGGTATTAACATAGTGGTTAAACATACCCCCTAACGGCGACGTCATGCGTTGGTATTTCGGCTAAAGTAGTGTTGCCTATAAAGCCGACAGTTCATGAAATATAAATCGAAGGACTAAATTTGACTGTTCCATCACTGGATGTATATATGTGCGTACCTACTATTATTTATCAATACGCCTAGATTCCGTAGTATAGTACATTAGTTTAGTATAAATATTATCTTTAAGTGGAGATCCCTTATATTCGATGTTTTTAATAGAGCGACCACCAGCTCAGAGACTGGAATCCATGCAACCCTCACTGTACGCGCCGCACGTTGACATAACGCGTGCAAGGCTGGGTTTCGGTCGAATCGGCCTAAGACTTCTTAATAGAGATTTACACTCACCGGATCATTTGAAACAGCTTCAGGCGTTACATAGCGTTCTCGATCAGGTAGAAATGAATAAATAAGCATTAATAACCCTCTTACATATATGTAACTTCGTTAGACTTCTTCCGCCAGTAGGAAGTACCTAGTAATTGATTATTATAGGAATACTTGACTCTTTAAAATATACAAAAAAATTGCACTTTCATCATTTGTTAAAGGTACAAATAACAGAAGACGCAATGTATTTGATTAGCATACACTTAGTATATCGCTTGATAGATTTAATGCGCAACCCCGACCCTGTCATTCGAGAAAAGGTCTGTATGATTCTCACCATCGTTGCAAGTTATCATCAAGGGAGAGAAAGAATTATGACTCGACCAGTTATTATATCAAGTCTCCTACATCTCATACTGCGAGATCGTAAAGAAATCAGATACGCAGCAGCAGTAACACTTAAAACTTTAACTGATAACCGATGTTCAGTTGAAACGATTTTGAAGAACAAGAGAATAATAGAGGACTTATTAAAAATGGTCATAAACGACCATAAGGGCATTGTTGTTTTACATCTTAAATCGTTGGCTAATCTTACTGAGAGAGATCAACAGCGAGCTTTGATATCAAACGCTTTCCAAATTATGTTGAAGCTATTTGAAGATGACGATCCGAAAATCGTTTGTGGCGCCATGGACTGTATGACACAGTTATGCAAGCATGAAGTCGGCAAGACGTTAGCTGATGAATACGACCTAACATTCGTGCTGCGGCCGTATCTGAGTCACACATGCGTCGAAATTATAATCAGCGCAGTAAGTTTAATGTGTTATACGACGCTCACAACCCGTTCAAAATGGCGTGCGAAAGAAATTTGCGAGGACTTAACAAAAACACTTGTAAATTTATGTCATAAACCAAACAAACCCTTGTTACAATTGAACTCCATGCAGGTATTGATAAACTTATGTGACTGCCCAGATATAAGGAACCACATGAAATTCCATTGGGAGAGGAAGGTGATGCTGATACGTATAAGGACGCACGAGGAATGGGACGGTACGACCGAGACTTCCAGTTACGGGTTGGAAACTGGTCATAATTATAGGACAATGTGTATTGAGGGTGTGGAAACCATAAAGAATGACTATGGCGATAATGCCACTGTTGTTAACGTGCACAGCTATTTGCGACGCATTCATGAAATTAAAGATAGATTGTTATACGCTATTAATTGGAAGTCTTATAAAGATTAGACTCAAAATTATATCAAAATACATCTTAAAAGGAAGAGTCGAATAGTTGAAATTTGTTTTTAAATTTATAGTATTGCTCGTTAATTATCAACTAATCAGGTATTTGATACTCAAAATATATATTTGTAACAATATACTAATGTACATAGCTAGAACGCGTTTTATTATCAACAATTCATCAAAAATATATTGAAGTTGTCACAGCGAGCAGAGACATTCTCTGCTCCAATTATCACTTTGAAAGTGAAGCTCTTTCAACAACAATTATTGTTTCACCTGGAAATCGAACCAACACAGTCACATATGATTTAGTAACTTAATAGTCACAAAGGCGGCGAATAATAACTAATTTATTTGTGTATAAAACAAAAACAGTTCTCTTTATTGTTGTTCTTTTTTTTCTTAATAGGCAAGTCTCAAGAAGTCTTGAATCAGTCTTCTTTGTTTCCTCCCACAATGTTTTCCTTTAAAAATAAAATCCAGAACTGCCGTGGTTCTAATTAAGACTCAACAGATATTGAATAAAAGACCAGTAACTTTTGAAGCGTTTATTGGGTAGAGTACATTTAAATCACACTGCGTTACATTTGGTTGCCTTTTGTGCCTTTAGTGGCCTTAAATCTAAAATCAGTCAAACACTAATTATTCTAAAGACTAATCCTAAAAACGAATCATTCTAATTGCACTCTTTCGTCTCTTTCTCCCAAATTGTTTTGACGCTGTAATTAAAAGAGAGATAAAACGGTGGAATTAGATGGATCAATTTTTAACGACTTTACCGAGCGCATTTCCATATGTGAGCTAAAACAGTGGTATCAAAGCGACCCTTGTTGAAGCACAAAATTTGGCAAAAAATTTCTACTGCGTAGTTTCGCTAATGTCTAGGCTAGAGAATATTATAATTCAGATAAACTACGTACAATTTTAGTTCTAAGAGCGGGTTCGACATCTAAAATATCTCAGAGGATTCCTTACTGTCCAGCCACGGCAGAACACGACTAAATATATCGCTCGCTATTAGAAAACTCTAACGATAAATCGTTTACACCATCAAAATTGGATTTATTCGTATTATATGCCCAAGAATAAGGGATTTTAGGTATTTTAATACTAATTTATTCCCAGGACTTGAGGCGAACTTTTTAATAGTAACGAAGTAATTTACATATAAAGCAATGGTTACCATGGTAACGGTGGCCGTTTATGTTCAGCTAAATCCGCTCTTAATATGCGCGTAATTTTAGAATCTTGCAAATTACGTGCTGATACTAATAATTTACAAATTTTTAAATAAAATTAATTTTTTGTTCAACGTATTTATTTCGTTTCCTTTCGAGTTTTTGCGTCTTTAGTTTTATTTAATTATTAATCAACATACAATTCAAAACAATTTAAAATATAAATACTCATACTTTTATAAAACACATTATATACAAATATACAACGATTTAAGTTTAACACATAACAGAATAGCTTGTATTCTAGAGTCACAAACATATACTCATAGTGGCTTAGGAAGTGCCACAACCAGAATAAGAAATCGTAAATCAAGCATTTACTGCTGTAAATACGAAATTAGATTTTATCAGAGTTATCCTTGAGCCGGAATAGGTATATTTACACTGTGCTCTTAATGAGGTTTTTAATTTTGTATGTGTGTACATGTGTATTTGTCTATGGTTATATAGTTGTGAATTTTCTAGAACAATATGTGTAATTTTATTATACCCTACAAAAACTGAGGGTTTGACTACTTAAATACGCTTTATCTGAAAAAGTATTAAGATTTTTTTTATTTTTAAAATACATTTCTTTAACCCCTTTGCGTTGCAATTTTCATTATTTAAAAAAAAAATGTAATCAAAATCCATACAATATCTATGGAAAGTAAAGGAAAAATCATCAAAATAAACATTAGCAATTTTAATATACAATATATCTAAAAAAACCGCCAAATTATATTGTTAAAGTATGAATTAGTCTTGTCTTTATCATTTGCAAGTAAATAAACGGGACAAGACATTACTTTGGAGGGCACTCTTTCTATAAAGTTGAAATTCATGCAACCACAAATATTCTGTTTTAAAGAGCAAACGGGTTTTCTAAATTACTAGTCGTAATTGCCACGAATAGATTCTTATTTGCGTTTACTTGCTTTTCTTTCTGTCTTTTATAAGGCTTTTTAACGCCTACATTTAATCGTTTCGTTTCCATATTTTGTTTGACAATTCGTTTGGCTATCAAAGTATTAAACTCGTACCAACTGTACAACGTATATACGTATACGTACATATACGTAATTATAACGAAAAGCAAAATTACAGCGTTTAAATCACAGTACACTTTGGAATTAATTATTATAAGTACCATCTAATTTTGTTTTATATGAATAAATACCTAATATTAACTGCCTCAGTACATTGCGTACGTGTGACCCTTTTCTAAGAAAGCCTACAAATTCCTTTATAATTTTAAAGTATTGAAATATTATGACAGGTGTTTTAATATACATAACCAGTTTTCCAACGAATTAATTACCTACAGCAAGAAAAAGACAACTATAGACTTCAAGTCTAATTTTTTAACGTCATTTTGCGTGAAATCATTTTAAACAGTGAAATTTATCTATATTGCCTAATCACTACAAAATTGTTCGAAGCTGCACCAACACAAAATATCCATCCCTTTCACTCACACGCCTCCCTCCCTCTCACGTACTTAAAAAGGGCCTTGCACAGATCGTGCATAGTCGGGTCTCACCTGGCCCCGCCCCTTTTATTCAAAGGATCATACATTTCGGCCTCGGAATCGATTTCGTCTTCAGACAACGACAACGAGCCTCCCACACGCCGCGTTCGTAGGCCTTCCTGTAAATACCGGAGTGAGTAATTAATATTAATTTACATATATTATTAATAAAATATGTAGGTAAGGAAAAGAGAGAAAACATTTAGCTCGTTCATGTGGAACATAGGCGTGCAACACATCCCTGAGTTAGTGCGTTCGTGAATTTCGTGAAGGCAAGCATCGTGAGGAAACTATGAAACCCAAAAATCTACTCATGTCAGACATAAAAGGCTGATCATCTACTCTTCTATGAAGAGAACGCCAATATAGGGTTGAATTGCCAATGGATTATTAAGTATAAGACCATCTTCATAATAGCGTATTAGGTAACGAAGCGTGATGACATAAGAAATTTACATAATCATTCATAAACGTACTATAAGCTTCGAATAACTATTCAATGATAAACACATAACTAATGGATCCCACAGAAATGCTGATACAGATACTAAAAGGGCTATTTGACAAATTTAACAAAACAATTTCAGATTATTCATAAGTGACTACAGAACCTACACAAATTTTTCAACAATTTCAAGATGGCGCTAAAACGCTTATCTAGACAAAATGGCGTCGCATCAGTCCCTATGACGTACCATGCTTTGAATTTGTTTACGTGTCAATTATCATTACTAAATTACATAATTCGATCAAAAACCGTCTCCGACGAACATCGTATTAAAATTAGACAGAAGACTACGTTATCTACGAAATTCTGTGACGTCTTCAACGATTCGACTACTTTGACCGTTCACGTGACTGACGTGTAAAAATCAATATTTTTATAAAGGATTTTTTGATAAATTAATGATTATTTAGGTTTTATTTAATAACGCTTTATTATTACGCAGTACGCAGATTACTCGCAATAAATGAGATTTGAGACCTTGATTTGGGGCAATTTAGAAGCGTATTTTTTTCTACGTTCATAATTGTACATTGTGTTACCTATATGAATATGATAAAGTATTGGACAGATGTTTGAGCCACAATCCCACCTGATGTTGAGATGCCTATCGGAGGGCACGCCAGTCCAGGAGATGCCTATATAGCCACCGCTTGAATGAACCTATGTTATATATACTCTTTAGGAAAGATTCGAGCAAGGAGTTCTACTCCTTCGCTGTTTTCAAAAGAAACGACAATCCAAATCGTGTGGTGCGGCAGTTGAGGATGTCAACAACAAAGAGATGATTCTAGCGTGCTTCAAGACGAGCGTAGTTTGAAGCATTCTCCGGATTGCAATCTATAGAAGACTGCAACTAAACGGCTATGGTAAAAACTTGACATTACCCATAGCCTCACTTTTAGATTTAAAATCATTTCTCGGCGGTCTTGATATGTTGGACGTAGCCGAAGTTCACATAGTCGGCATAGCCGAAGGCTTGATTTCAGCGTGTCGTTGATATGTATCAGGAAGAGAATCGGAGAAAGAAGAGATTCTTGTGGTACACCAGCATTAACAGCTACTTGATCAGAAGAGCAACCACTGACGACCACCATGAGTGATCGCTCCTTGAAGAAATATGTAATCCATTTGCAGAGAACACCGGGTAAACCAAATAATGAGAGCTTGCCTAAGAGTCTTGCGTGCCAAACCTTATCAAATGCCTTATAAATGTCAAGGGTTACAGGAAGTGCTTCTCCATGGCACTGAGATGCGTGGATTAGAAGGTAACCTGTAGATTATGACGAAGTAAATAATATTCTTTAATTATTAACTCTTGGTTGGACAAAAAAATATTTAACTGAGTTTTAGTACGTTTATGAATAAAACCATTTTTTAACTAAAGTCTCCCATTGCGCTTAGATCACGATAAGAGCTCTTTTGTTAAAAGTATGTAGTTTTTATGTAAAGCCTGTGGATTTAGTATATAAAGCCGGATACTGAAAGAGGACAGAAACTATTAAAATACTTAAAAATAACGTGTGATTGCGTACATCAAATGCTATATACAAACAAAAGTTGGTTAACAAATTCAAGCGATACCCATAACCCAGTTGCGAAAGAGTTATTGCCGTCTACTTAACACAGTGTCAACTCTTCGCTCGTCTTCGCATATAGAAAAAAATGACATTAACGAGTGACGTCACCAGTTTACACTGTTTATAGTGAACTTACTTTTAGTTCCGATATACTGAGTCAAAGACGGCTCCCGAAAAATACTCTTCGTTCTAACTCTATTAAACGTCTCTAAAGATTTAAGTACATTTCTAAATGTACAAAGTGTATTTATAAAAGTAACGTTAATTAATATATTAAGACTAAATATCAATAAATGTTTCTCTGACGACAAATTCACTAGAAATTATGTAAACTTTCAAAAATGAGATTTGTAGTATAAGTTACATTGAGTACGCTGTACTCAAACTAGCTAGTTTCATTATTCATTCATCAACAACGGTTCGTCGTTCACAAAACTAAGGGCTTCTTAAGGCAATTTCTGCCCACTGAAGTATTTCCGAACCAATTCGACTAAGAGTTCTTGTTAACGACAACGGACAACGGCCCGATTTTTAAAACGGGCGACGGGCCGACGCGCAGTGTTCAAGTAAGTTGAGTGAATGTTTGTTAACGCGACGGGCTCATACCCGTTGCAACGTGACTCAACGGATGCGCTCACGTTGCCCCTCGGCGCGACGGCGGACTGTCCGATGCAGTGAACTACGGCATTTCATAGAAGTGTGTTGACGACGACGGATGTGCGCACGTTATTACATTATATTTCTATCTACCTACCCTCTGCTGCTCATTGTGAATATGGGGTTTACCATTGATATGGATTTATTAATTAGCCTTGTTCAGAATAGGCCTATGTTATGGGACAAAACTATAGAAAATTACAAAAATAAACAATCAAATTTTGCGGCATGGAAAGAAATGTTCGTAATGCTAAATGAAGATTTTGAGACATTATCTAATAAATAATAATCAACGTACGTGCACTTCTCCCTTCAAATTTAATAGAACTGATATCGACAACAACGGACGCGTTCACGTTATATTCAGCGTATCGTGTACAAAGGTAGCCGTTTTGCGTCGGCCCGTTACCCGTTGACAAAAACGTTCGTTAACAAGAGCTCTTAGGGTCCTTCAAGAACAGAGAGTACCAATTCTTAAAAGGCATTGCCTTGCGAATCTATTGGCAGCGCGAGTGTCTATGACGGACACATAACATCAGATGAGCCTCCTGCCCGTTTGCCCAAAAAAAATACTTTCGGTCACTTTCGGTAGCCGTCTTATGACACCCGGCAAACGGAACGTTTAACTCTTTCGCAAATCGCGTCCGCCACCGTGAGAGCTGTGCCTAAAAAAAAAACAAAATATCTAACTACTCTTGTGCTGTCAGTATGTGCCCACCAGTTCCGTGTCGCTGATCCAAGCTGCCCCTTCCACGCTTGACGACATCTACATACATACATACTATTATATACCTATAAGTTACAGGCAACAAATTTAGTTTGGTAAAATGCGTCGCTGGATTGTTGAAATCGGTGCAGTGGTTTCGAGTTAAAAAGAAAATTTTCTGGCTAGACATTGAAGTTTAATAAAAAATCTATTAAAACTAAACGAATATACAATATAAGAACAATCTTTTTTGATGATTTTCTACGTTATAAATTACTTAAATAACCGTGCAAACATATAACTGACTACGTCTAAACCGTTCAAAGTTAGTCAAACACCGTCACAATTTAAGTCACATTCAAATCAAGGAAATGAGGTAAATCTATTGAGGAGACCAAGGTTTTCATACTATTGCTTATCAATCAAGAAATAAAATTTAAAAAAAACTTTATGATTTTTTTTAATAAAAACTTTATCAGAAAGAACCCCTACCTCTAATATCCCACCACTGGGCTCCGAAGCGTAACCTTCGAAGTGCCTCTGGTCCTCCTCATAGTCTGACGAAGAAGAAGAGTCGTTGTCACCGTCGCGAGCTGTTCTCACCGAACAGACCATTTGAGCAAGGTCCGTGAATGTGTAGCTGGAATATTGAAGTCAGAATAATGAATAAATTTAATGGAATATATAAAATTCTCGTGTCACAATGTTCGGTCCTATACTCGTTCGAAACGGCTCGACCGATTCTTAAGAAATTTTTTATGCATATTCAGTAAGTCTGAGAATCGGCTACTATCTATCTTTCAAATCCCTAAGTGATAAGGGGTGTCCACCCCAAAATTTTTAGAAAAGAGTTTAAAGTTTTTTTTTATATAATTTTTTTTTATATAATTTTTTTTGATTCAATTTTTTTATGATACAGCATACAAAAATAAATACAACCCTAATTTTCACCCCTCTACGATCAACCCCTATTTTTATTAATGTAAATAGTTATTTTTATTGAACTAAACAAAAATACCTACAAATAAAATACATGGAAAATCAAACGTTTGCCATGTACCTACCTATTGGATATTATTTTATTAATAATAATAATTAATCGTTTATTTGCAAAGTATGAATGTATTGATAAAACCGTACAATCAGCCATATAAAAATAAGCAAATGTCATAATAATAAGTTTAGTTATTTATAATTGTTGTAAAGGTTTGCCGAGAATACTCCTGCAAAGCGATTTCCTATAACGCGGTCCGTCCTACCACTGTACAACGGAGAAGAGACCGAAGAGAAGGCAGAAACTGCAATAACTATAGAAACACTTGGTAATAGTGAAGATGGAACTTAAACTCACTCAGTAAGCGAGGGCTGGGCTAAATGCTTGCGTCGTTCGGCCGCTGCCCCGCTGACTCCGCCCCCTCCGCCCCTCCTCTGCCCCTCGAAGTACGCAGTCCCGTGTCGGTAGCCGACTTCGCGGATCTCGTCGAAAGACCCGAACTGCAACGTCTTGTATTGGTCTATCGGAGGGCGGATGTACTCGCAGTAGTCCGACTTTTTCACTTCCTGAAATTCGCCGACAAATTTGCTTTGAACTTTGGTAAGAATTTTACTTCACTATAATGTCCTCCATGGCTTATTCAAATAGCTATTGTTTAGCATTAGGCCAAATGGCGTAGGTTCAATCCCCGGCTATATCCCGCTCATGGAAAGAAAGTGCACCAATGTACTTTTAGCATTCCTTGAACGGTGAAGAAAACCGGTTTCCAATAGCCGGCGTGTGTTAGGCACAAAAGACTGATCACCTACTTGCTGCTATTAGATTGACAAATGATTATGAAACAGATACAGCAATCTGAGGTCCAGACCTAAAAACGTTATAGCGCCACTGATTTATTTCATAGACTGGACTAAGCAAGAAGACACTTGCCTTCGACTTTGAATAATACCAGATGAACTTCGTACCTACATTTGTGGCAAAACGTAATAAAATATTAAAACAGACCAAAGATATCGGACCTCTACAGCTATGAAACACAAACTTCTGAAGGTTTTGAATTTCTAAAAAGACAAAAGACCTCAAAATTTCTCAGCTAGGAACAGTTTTTATTTTTAGTTTCAAAATTTATGTTTCCCACCGTATAAACCATCCCCGAACTTAAACAAATATTTCGAGTATTAGCCAGAGTAACGAACAGCAATTCATTTCTATACATAAAATTATTCAAAACACAAAACTTACTTCCAATTGACGATTGCACGAGACGTAAGCCAATCTGCTTTGTATGTCTGGAAGATTTGGCACTTTCACAGGACTGGTGAATGGATTCCATCTGGAAATATTCCATATACTAATGTTTAAAAAAAGTTACTGGACCATTTAGAGTGCCAGCCTTTCGCTGATAACATTGCCTATAATAACTCTAAAATATTTAAAGAATCATGTCCAGCCATCCGAAGCCGGGTCAGGCCATTGTGGATTATAATTTTCTTTGGATTGGTGTGCCGCGTACCACCACTTTGTGGAACCAGCTGCCCACTAAAGTATTTCCGAAACAATTCGATTTAGGGTCCTTCAAGAAAAGAGCGTACCAATTCTTGAAAGGCCGGCAACGCACTCGCGAGCCATCTGGCAATGTGAGTGTCCATGGGCGGCGGAATCACTTAAGATCTGGTAAGCCTCCTGCTCGTTTGCCTCCTATTACATATAAAAACTTCTGCAAAAGTTAGCGAAGAAGAACGCAGCGAAGAACTAGCGAGAGTTTACTCTTTTTCTAGTAGATATAAATAGAAAGAGACAGAAAATATTTTATGCTACGTCACAAAAGATACCTTTTCCAAAGCAGCCACCAGCCAGACAAGTCATCGCCATAATTGGTCAAATCAGTATCGTCCTGAGAGCCCACATCGATCGCCAATATGTGCTTCGCCCCAAACGATCGCATCACATCGGCTGAAATTATTTATAGATTCATTTAGCCTACAGTATATCAGCATATCAGGTATGAAAATCTGTTCTTGATTGCAATATATAAAAATTATTTTATTTCTGTACGTTTAAAATAGCATATATAATGCGTTTTAATGGCGTTAAATTATAATTTGATGAGTCAGCAATGTCAAAAGAAGACATTTTTTTTCTTCCAAACGAGGCATTTTATACATTCACAACTTTTCCTCGAAGGAGTAACCAAGACTACGGATCGCTACTCTCCTTTCTCTCATCATCCCCTTTCATAACATTCTTACACAAGGGGTACAGATACCGGCAAACATCTTGAATATTAAACAAGGGAGTGGGGGAAAGTTTGCGCAGTGCGGGATACAAATGTCAACAGATTTACCAATCACGCGATCGACGTCACTCTCCCGCCCTCCCCCCTCCCAGTATACCTAAAAATCGCTTCAAGATGTGTGATGTTTGTTCAAGATGTTTGCCGGTATCTATACACATGTTATAAAAGTATTTTTCTTAATAATCTAGTTACCTGGTACATTATTAACATAGCATCCATCTAATAGCAGGTGTCCGTCCATGGTATCGCAAATGGGTGGGAAGATGCCAGCGATACTCATGGATGCTCGGCAGTACCTCCATAGAATACCTATGGTCAAACTATTGTCTGGACAATTTGTGTGCGGATCGGGAATCAGCAGGAGTCAGATACCACGGTCAGGTCAAATGTCACTAGAGTTCAGGAAAGTCAAAATCTTGGTCATGTGCAGCAGATTTGGTAGCATTATATTTTTGTGGGATAAACTACATTAAAAGACGTTTCATTGTTCTTCGTTAAGAACGGAGTATTTTGAAAATAAAAGTCATAATTGGATCAAGAAGAGTTGTTTCCTAATTGCTTTATCGAAGATGAAGTTAAGCTATACTCTGATTTTTGATTACGTAGAATTCTGACAGCTACCATTTTTTGACATTTCAGATATTACAAACCTTTTTGGCCGGACACATTTTTCAATTTCAATACCAGTCAACATCTGACTCTATACAAACATTTCATTTGTTAGTTAATGTATTCATTTTATTAAGTGCTGTGCTCAATATAAAAAGTGGTGTTACGGCGACTGATAATTACGTCCCTTGTCATTACAAACAGTAAAAAACGCACAAATATATATATTTAAAAAAAAAAGGTTTACTAAACCTGGAATTAGTACGCAGTGATGCCAGCTAAAGAATAAAATAAAGTACCTAATTAAAGTTAATTCGATACATTGTTCGCGATATTGAAATTTTTGTAGATCACGTGAGTAAGTAAATATTAAGATTTACCTTTTTGTAGGTAAAACATAAACAATACGTAGGATTTTATTTTATTGCCCTAAAATGGGTCAAATTTGTCCCTTTTTTGGTGGAGAACTTTAGTGGCAACATTTATGAAATGTCAGAATTCTACGATATTAAAAATCAGAGTATAGACCAGATTTTCAGTTTATTCAAACTATTTAAAGCATAAACAAAAAACTGTCTTGTCGCAAGAGATAAAGTATCTGTTACACATGTAAAGTCACGTCAATGGTCGATCCGCCAATGTCTCAAGATCTTTCCCAGTTGCCACTTACCTTCCCGACCGAGTGTAAATATCCAAACAGCCGAAGGGTTCAGGCAAAGTGCAATGTTAAGACATACCAAAGCAATGAAACTACTGAAAAAAATATTTACACTCAGCCTATCTCATAGACAGATAATGGACTGAGTTTGGTGCGAGCGAAACGGGGAATATGCATTGTGAAGTGTACTTGTAACCTTTCTCTCCTACAATAACCACAAAATCAATTACCAATACATATTCCCTAACTATAACTGAAAGAATGTCGTCCCTTCCTCGCACGTAATGTTAGAAAGGGACGGCATCGGTCAACGTGCGCGTCTCAGTCCATCTACGTCCAGCCCTGCCTCGTGATTGGTTTACCTGGGAGGTTGTTGACATAGCCGCCGTCCAAAAGGAGGTGGCCGTCTACGGGGTCGCAGAGAGGGGGCATGTAGCCGCTGAGCGACATCGAAGCGCGAATGTAACGCCAGAGAGAACCTGCGACGCGCGATCTCAGTTAACAAGCCGTCGGTGCGTGGAAAGTACACTCCATGGAAAGGAAACAGTGCGAGAACCGAAACCAGTGAGAATCCTTCGCCAGACAGGACTTTAAAAGACTAGAGCTCCAGCGAGCGCGTACATCGAGACAATGACAGCAAAGCGTAAACTAGTGATACACAAACTAATTTTGATTCGTCGCTCGAATGTTCCGATGGAGGTCAATATTCTCATGCAATCTATCTACAACTACAGTGATGAATATAAATAAATGGATAAAAAGAACCACACTCATGCATGAAATGAATGATAGAGAAATGTGGCAGATTCACACCCAACCCGACATTGCAACGCACCGAATTTCAAAATCTCCCAAAATTAGCAAAAAATCACCCATTAATTGTTAGTCATTCGGTAAACCAATCACAAGCGTTCGGTTGAGTAGTGGCAACACCCAAAGCGAATGTCGGATTTGTAAATTAAAAAAAAATCTTGGAACACCAACAAATTGTATACACGTCATTATTATAGCATTTTGTATAAATATACTTAAATGCAAGTGAGTGTGGTTATGGAAAAATAAAAATCACTGTAGCGGTAACAAAAAGGTTTTGTCTGCCACCATAGATATTGATCGTATGGGGCATAGACAATCCGCAATAAACGTACACAAAAAGCAAGTAGCTGGCATTTTATGAAAAAGCTGGACTGGTCGGCAGTTGGCCTATAGGCTCGTTACCATGCATACAGTAACACCAACTTGTTTCTTTATATTATATTACGCGTTTTCTTATTTAAGAAAAATGTTTTGTCTCGTTCATTTATTTGCAGTGTGATAAAGACAACTATACGATATATTTTTTACAGTTTCAAATATTTCAGAGTTCTTTAAATAAGTAAACGCATTAGAGATTTTTAAACATTAAACATAAAATGTGCAAAAAAAAAATTAAACGATAATTTCCTGTCCATGAATGTGTTAGTTGTGCTCCACTTTTCCGATTTCACAGAAACAAAACTAAACTTTAAAAAACAAACATTGCACGTTAGTTGAATTATTTTTCATGAAATCTTAATATTTGTAAAAAAATATATAATGTTTTTGCCAACAGTACCTAATATATAGATTACTATGTGAGGCGCATTTAATCGCTACACATAAAAAAATATTTGACTTAAACCAAAAGAATAACAGAAATGTCCTCAAAACCCTTGTTCTGCCAGAAATTCTGGCCTCTTACCGTGTCTATGCACTCTCATACAACTGGAACTGATATCTGTCGTTACTGTGAAATAGGGCAGCCACAGATCCTCGATGTGTACTTCGCCAAAGGTGGCCTTTATCGTGGTGTTGAACTGTCGCCCCGAGAACATTGACGTCGCTGGGTATGTGAGGTCCAGCAGCTGTTTGCCCCACTGGGTCATTTTCTGAAAAACAATTCGATACCTGGTCAAAAGTCTCTCCAATTATCTCTTGTTAAAACTGAGTTACGCAAGATTTATTATAATATTTTTTTAATTTCCAAAATTATTAAACGACTTACCTGCGACCACTCCCTCGCTTTCTGCGTAACAGTAGTAATATTCCTCTCCATACACCAGAGGGCGCCCATGAACGCACCGATACTGACTCCGCCCACCATGTCGATCGGGATACCGGCTTCCTGTAAGAAGTTTCAGTGAAGATTACGCAAGATTAGTCTTTCCTCTATATATTGGTTTAACAGGAAAAGCGGCGGAAGGTTATTTTTTAATATGCCCTTGCAATCATATATATTTTCACTGAAAACTTCACTAACGGATTCAAACCCGAAAATACTGCTGTCAGAAATGAGAATTGACCAATAAGTTATTTATGTGGCAATGGGCGGGGGCATAAAGCAAGATGCACAGATAAAAGAGGGACTTTAAGGACGCTCCAAAAATAGGTGGATAGAAGATATTGAAGCGTCAACGGAAGCGAATGGAGAAAGAAAGCCAGTGAAATTCCGATCAATGGTACTGAAGGATGCTAGGGTATTAGGATAACAAGAAAAAAGTGTATTAATAAATATAAACTGTACATTTGTAAAGATAGTAAATCAAGGGGCTTTTTTAGTTATTATTTTTTTATATATTTATACTTATTTTTATTTTTTTTATTTTAATGTCGCGTAACAATATAAATAATTATATATTTGGTTTCTGCTTTAAAATATATTCAAAGAACCCACCTGTATGGCTCTCACCATCCCGACGTGGGCGGCTCCTCGGGCTCCACCCCCGCCCAGCACCAGCCCCACGGAGGTGCCCGTGAGCCAACGAGCCAGACGGCTGAAGTCGGAGTGGACGCTCGCTTCTGACATCAGCACTTTGCTGTACAGTTCACTCTGTTGATGCACAAAAAAATATTATAAGTATATAAAAAAAAAACACAAAATAGGATTCAAAATAAGGAATGTAATGTAATTTTAGTACTTTGAATAAACAATTTAATTTCCCTTTCTAGTCTTGTATTAATATATACTCACAATTCTATACTGGCTCTTGCGTGTGAACATCCGGTGAGGGCACCTGACGTGATGATGCTGACTGACCCACGTTCTCATGTTGAGCCAGTGGACCGTCCCCGTGGGGTTGGCCCCGCCCTCACGATGCAGCAGTACGAGCTCCTTCTGAGTTCGGATCGCTAGACGCTCGATTTCCTTTTCGATCTGCAATTTAATTAAATTCCCTTTTCTAACTAATTTATTGTATATATAAAATGGGGCTTATCATTGAAAACAGCTTTTGCACGCCTCGCAGTGCTCTACTCTCGACATGTCAAAAAACCCAGTCTTTCGAAACTTAAATGACTTTTTTCTCACGAATATAACACTTACAGGATAATATGAGTGCACTAAAATCGAGTTAAATAATCTATCAAGCACATATGGTATTTTTTATGAACAATTATTTTGTTTAACATAGTAAATAATAATATTAAAATCAATCATTTTTGGACGCCCGTCAGTCTGTGTTTATGGATCCATGTATGTGACAAGGAAATTGGTCGAAAAATTTATCGTACCAGAATACTTTTTTTTTCTTATTATATAAAGTTATACCCTGGGCTGATTCCTAGTTAATATTAGCGTTCTAAGTACTGTCGTTTAATTATAATTTGTAAAAAACTAAAATACGACTTTGTATTTGTATATCTATATATACACTTATTTTAGTATATTTTTTCCTCACCTTAAAGTTATGGCGCCACTATATATTTTTTATTATACTAAGTAGTAAGAAGTAAAAATAAAAAATAAAAAAAATGTAAACGAATGATTTTTTTGCGTTGACTTTTGGATTTTTTGAACTATTTTTAAATTTATTTAACCTAGAAAGAACTAACATAATAAACGTTCCTTTAAAATAGGAAAACGATAAGCTAATTCAGTACCACCAATTTACGAAAAAAATTAAGTGATTTTCAAATTGTTTACTAAGGAATCAATAAAATAATTCTTAACTAAAGAATTTAAGACATTATTTTAATAATAAGTGACGACACAGATTACATTGAACGAGATATGAATACTCTCCATGGTAAATGCGATGATCGATGATGATCACAGCTAATGAAAACAAAATGAAGTCCCAAACTCTTACCTTTCCAATACTCGGTTGCTTGTCTCCCAAAGCCACGATGAGAATGCAGTCAGCCTGACGGATGCACCTCTGAGTCCACTGGGTGAGGCTGGGATCGCATTGGTACAATGCCACCTGAAACATTAATAAATGTTTACAACATCATACATAGTACTAAATAATAAATTGTGCCTGTACTAGGTGTACACACGTAAGAAGTGAAACTTCTTTATGATCTTATTTTTCGAAAAATGATCTACTATATGCAACTTTACAGAAATTCGTTAAATTAGATAAAGTTTAACAAAAGGCTTTTATTATCATAGACATGAATACAAATATTTCATTTTACCTTATTACTACGATTATTATAGAATTTCATTAATTGTAATATAATTATTACTATCATTGAAAAACGTGACGATTTGCTACAAAATTTCTCTCATACGTCGATAAAGAAGTTTCATTCCAACGCCGATAAAGAAGTTTGACTTCAAAAAGCAACATGGCGCGTAACCGAAAAATGTGACGCGTAACGAAAAAATGTTACACTAAATTTTTTTCCAACCTCGATAAAGAAGTTTCACTTCAATAATACTACGGTAACGGTACGGTACGGTATAACAATTTAGGTAAAATTAAATGTTACAAAACAATTTATAATTTGAGATTTCTCCCGCAGCTGGAACACTTTATTTACGTCACAATATAATTTATAGAACACGATAATAATATAAACAGGCTGTCTTACTGCTAATTTATTCTGAAGGTAAAAATTGTAAACAATAAAAAAAGTATACAGAATGTATAGACAATTTGGTAAGTCTTTTGTCTATTACTCAAACACCAAAAATTATTATAATGATACGAATAAATCAATAGTAACAGCGTGTCTATTAAATGAATGTATTAAAATTGTGAATTACAAATTATAAAAATCTATTACCTTATGTTTATCCTCTTGTTGCGCGAGCCAAGAACTAAGCCTATATTCGTTATTGGGGTCCATTATTGTGAGGCCCAAGAGTTTTCTTATCACATCCGAGGTCAAACGGACCGTGGGACCTGGAAATTCAAATTTAATCTCACTTTTTAAAGAAATATCTGTTGAAGCTGATCCAATTGAAAATTATTCTTTCGTCTTTATCTGTCGAATTGTGTCTTCGCTGTGTTGAAAAGAGACAAGAATATTAAGTTGAAAATGTAGTTGGACTCATTCCCGAATATGTATGATTATTATTATAAAATTCTTGTAAATTATAACCACTGATAATTAACTAAATATTTTGATGCTTAGAACAATACATGGTATTGGATAGTGATATATCACTTATAATTATTATTAATTAATTATTTATTACTTAAGATGTCATGTGGAACACGGTGTAATGGTTGCAGCTCCTTACAAACGTTGTGTAAAACAAAAAACTTAGCGATTAAAAAGAGTCAGAGTTTATTGCCAGTTCTTCTCGTCCGTTCTACGCCCTTGATTTGGGAACCGGCAGTAAATGTACAATTAGAAGCATTTAATATGTATTTCTTTTTGACGTTCATAAGTGTATATTCTGTTAACTAAACGAATAAATTATTTTAATTTAATTAGATGACTTCGAGTGATATATTTGTGCAATTACACCATAGTTACCATAAAACTATTTCAAAACCGTTAAATTTCTTAAATAATGTATTTTTTTTAAATACATACCTATAGCACAAAGCGAGTGATAAAGCTCGTAAGTGAAGGCCGTTAAGGGAACATCATCGCTAACTGGAACTACGGCCACAGTTGAGAAGTTATGTTGGGAGGGTCGGGATTCGATCGCCGCCGCGCCACCTAGACCCGCCGTCGGTTTCTGCCACGATCCTGAAAGAAAATTCCCTTGTCTGAGAAAAATAGTTGATCTTCGTGCCTTTGCCCTCTGTTCTATAAAAGTGACATAATTCAGTAGCGTTCAAGTAACGTTACGTCACGCAATTTTTGGAGATTATTGACACCCCCCCCATGTAACGCCAAGTACAGTACTGTGCCCAAGTATAGTAAAACGTTTCGTGACCCAGTGACTCTTTATACCTAAAAGTTACCATTATATGGTGTAAAGTACTGGAAAGTCGAAAATAATATCAACAATAACGCGTAATTCAATCCCCGCCCCGCATCGTAACGTATTACAAAATTCCCCCTAACTTCGTTACGTAATACTTGAACGCTCCCTAAAATGTTATCAGCTCACCCAAGATCCTGTGTCCCAGCAGGTTAATAAGCCTAGTGACAACCACCGGAAACCGCAACTTGATCGCATTGAAGAGCCCTTCCGGTAATTTGGCCAATTCGGAATCTCTCACCGCCATAACTGTTGTACTACGACGCGTTTGAGTTACCATTTCCACCTATAAGTGATTTTTTCATTTAAAAATATTACTAAATCCTTTGAGTTTGTTATGTTTATGGGTCTACTTATAAGTAAATTTTAAGTTAGTTTAAATAAAGGCGTGAAGCTCACTGCATCATAGAGCAAGTTATACGTGAAAATACGCAAAAATATAATAATTTGGCAGGTTTTTGGGCCAATTCCTAATAAAGCTATAGATACCATCGAACCTATACTCTGATTTTTAATTCCGTAGAATTCAGCCAGATATCATTTTTTGACATTTCAGTGATGGCAAACCTTTTGGGCCGGGCACATTTTTCAATTTCAATACGAGTCTGAACATCTGAGTCTATGCATACATCGATTTATTGTTAGTTAATATACCTATTTTATTAAGTGCAGTACTCCACATTAAAATTGGTTTAAAATTAAAAAATTTGGCTAATTATTTTTTGTTAATATATATCGGAATCAATCTTATATAGATAGATACTTAGATACTTCACGAATACTATATGGATATACTATCTTTTTTTTTTATATAACGGGGGGCAAAGGGGCAGGAGGCTCACCTGATGTAAGGTGATACCGCAGCCCATGGACACTCTCAATCCCAGAGGGCTCGCGAGTGCGTTGCCGGCCTTTTAAGAATTGGTACGCTCTTTTCTTGAAGGACCCTAAGTCGAATTGGTTCGGAAATACTTCAGTGGGCAGCTGATTCCACATAGTGGTGGTGCGCGGCAAAAACTGCCTTGAGAAACGCTCAGTTGTGGAACGGCGGACGTCGAGGTGATACGGGTGGAATTTCGTATTCTGTCTCGACGTCCGATGATGAAACTCAGAAAATAAAACTATCTAGAAATTTTTTTTTATTTTTTTATTTTTGAGTACTTACGATTCCAACTAAATCGCCTTTTCCGTATTCCCCAACCAGTTCTTTCTTTCCATTCGGATGTGTTATGACCGACCGGAGTCGTCCACTCAAAACTATAAACGTCGAACCAGATTCTTCGTCTTGCCTATACACTGCGCGGCCGGACTCTAAAAATACCTGAAATAAAGAATAAGACAAATAAATTTCTTGTAAGTAAATATAATATAAACAAACTATTCCGATTTTCATTTCTGAAGTTCAAAACCTGGCAACACTACCTCATACGGTGTAAAAAAGGAAAAAATAGACATAACAAAAGTATGTCAGGCACAAAAAAAAATTCAAAAATCAAATTTATTAATTTAAATAACACAATGTACACTTATGATCGTCAAAAAAGAAATACATATTAAACGCTTCTAATTTTACATTTACTGCCAGTTCTCAAATCAAGGGCGTAGAACGGAATAGAAGAACTGGCAATAAACTCTGACTCTTTTTAATCGGCAAGTTTTTTTTTTACACAACGTTTGTAAGGAGCTGCTGGTTGACATGACACATTAAGTAATAAATAATAATAAAATAAATTAAAAACAAAGATTTGTCCTGTATCAGCAGGAGGCATGGTGAAATAGGAGCATGCACTTACATTCTCGTGGGAACAACACGCAAAAAAATATTTTATAAGGCCGCAGATTTTTTTTTAAATTTTTTTAACCAGAAATAATTAAAACTTAGAAATACAATACAATTCTATAACTAAGTACATACCCAATCCAAAGCGAAGTCGACCTGTCGTACAAACGGCGAGAGCCTCTTCACAACAGTATTGGCAATATGCAGAACAACGGAAGGTCGCTCGCGCATAATGCTATACACTGAGGTTTTGGACAACAGTCCAATACGAGAAAAATGCTTCGCGCGGATCGAAAAGAAACTTGGCTCGCCTGTCAGTACGGCTAAACCGCCTTCCACTTCACCTGGAAATTAATTTTCTCATTTATTTAATACAAGAACAAAAAATATTGTTTTAACCTGCTATATTGGAAATTATGTTATATATTTGTGCTTCACGTTTATTTGTTTTGATTTTTAGGAAATCTTGACAGTCCTGACAGACAGTACCTGTCGTTGCTGGCTTAGCTAATAATAAATATGAAAAATTGGTTTTCATTTTGACCCATTCAAACGTAATGTTAGAATCTAAATGTATTTGTATGAAACAATACACTAGCCGCATGCCCCAATCATCACTAACCTGGATATGCCGTGAACATATGAACTTCTCCATCTCCTTCAGCTACCCTTTGCGATACCAATAACGCACCAGATAGTAGGTATACCAACGCAACATCCTGCAAATATTTTACAAACAAAACCGTTAATTACGTTCTGGAAGTGGGTATAACAAAACTAGAAAACATAATCATGCCACACATGAGGTTCACAAATGTGAAAATAACAACGGTACTTAGAGTCGGTCGCTAGTACCCATACTAGGGAGCTCCTGTGTTGTGGGTAAAGTCGACGCATTTTAAACTGAGTCGTCGGGCAATAAATGTCACCGATAATAGGAATGTGCACGCAATGCAACCCGTTAAGGGTATATTACACCGGGGCAACACTGTGCGGCATTGCGGCATGCTACAAAGTTACAAATGTCACACATTGTGGCAAAAACATCTTGCGTCATGTGGCAGACTGTCGCAGCTTGTATCCGGGCACAATGCATTCTATGCGACATTTTTCGTGCGTCAAAACAGTTTGTTGGTTATGTTTTTGTTTGTATTTGTTTCGGAAAGTGAGACGATTATCGGGCTTAAAGTAGTAACGAAAAATATTTAGAATGTCGCAAGGTGCCGCATGCCGCAATGTAGCATGCACGTTGTTGCCTCGGCATAAACCTTAAGAGATCAAGCACCACCTCTGATAATTAACCTACAGGAAGATGACACAGATGGGGAAGATATGGGTGAGGATTTTTCGAGAACTAAGAAACATCTGTAGACAAGATAAAAACGGCCCCATTACGATTTATACAGTTTTTCTATGGCAACAAACATTATATCTTACACATTAAAAACTTTTGTTTTCAGATAGCGAAAATTCCTATTGACTTAACATAATTTAGCATATCCATCGTACCTATCCCGTTATCGAGAGCAACTTCTACAATTCTAACGCACGTCACTTCTCACTACACCTCTACATAAGACCTGTAAGTGCGAGCGAGACAGACATATAAATATCATTTATGACCCGAAGTCTCAGTCTAATGCGACTACTATAAATTACAATTATTCCATGATACACGGTGCTTGTAAAACATCTTTGTGTTACATCTCATCAAACACAAGTCGTATAAGACCTTTAGTATGAGTTAATGTATGAGTATGTGAATGGATGTGTGTGTTTTAACCCGAAATAAGAATTTAAAGATTACCATAGAAATGTAATCTTTATACTACTGTAAGCTAAAAAGAACCTCACAGTACCATGTAGTTGTAATCCTATATCTAACCAGATAAATTAGAATTTAAAGTATATATAAAATAATAAACAGTAATAAACTGATGATAAAACATCAACATCACGGGATATCAAACTAGAAGATTCTGCAAAACCCACTTGGAGCAAATGTTGGTGATCAATGCATTATGGCCATATTCAGTAGACGCAGCAGAAAAGGCCAAGAGGCAAGAAAAGGCGGGAAATTTGAACATAAATTTATGAGGGATGAGAGAATTTAGGAACTGGAAAAAGAATTCGATCCTTGGGTTAGTGAAAAGGACGCCAAAGTGCCGTTTGAATACAGCTGTAAGGGAAAGAGTCGAAATATATTCGTTTCACCATGCAAGCGATTTGAATAATACTGAATCTAGTGAAAATAAAATTTTGGTAAATACAATGTAGAAACTACGATGACATTATCACATATAAATGTAGAAAACACCCCATTCTTATATAATCCATAGCTACCTGTATGATTTCTGGCTCACCAGGGATGTTATAATACATCTTTAGGAAAAATATTCTAATTAATAACTATTGATTTAAAACTAGATACCACAATACAATTAGTTTTTAAAATTATTGCTAAAGTGTTTTAGATTACATCCAGGTTAGAAAATCTTAAATAAATTAACTAATAGAATATTTTGTTTATTTTGATCACACCATGTTTTTATACCTGTTCATTGCTAATTGTATCACTTCCAGGAAGTAATGTGACCAGGTGGGAGAAAGTTTTTTTTTTTAAATTTATAAGTTAAACATTTTCTTTTACGAGATCGGCAATCGGCTCTCAAGGAGATACAACCTCCCAAGAGTTTAAAAAAATCTTACTACTCCCTCAAAGGCCGACAACGCATCCTCAAAGTGACTGCCTATTTTATAAAAAAAGAGCTAAAAAATAGCTATATTTTTTGCCGGGTTCTATGGAATTCTATTATCCTTTAGCAGATTTCTTCAAAAAACAAAAACGATTTTAGTTTAATTTTTTTGTAAATAAGAATGATCATATTTATGTTACCATGAGAACCAAATTTATTAATTTTATTAACCTTACCTTATGACTCTCTTCCTTCATTATATACGTTCCAGCGGGAAGATCCCTCACTTGTACGCACCCGGTCAATAACTGATCGTTCTCCAAGCCCAGCTCCTTTATAAAGGCCTCTGTTGCTATTTGTATTAGTGCCTATAAATTTACAAAAAAACCTTAAATTTACAAAAAAAACTATAAATTTACAAAAAAAAACTATAAATTTACAAAAAAAACTATAAATTTACAAAAAAAAACTAAATTTACAAAAAAACTATAAATTTACAAAAAATAAATTTAAAAAAAACTATAAATTTACAAAAAAAACTATAAATTTACAAAAAAAAACTATAAATTTACAAAAAAAAACTATAAATTTACAAAAAAAAACTATAAATTTACAATAAAAACTTTTGTAAAGACAACTAAATGCACTAAATACGAAAACCATCCTTTCGTTATTACTAGTACTTTTAAAATCAATCCTGGGGACTTCAGAAGACTTTAGGAACATTTAAAAAGTGAAACTTCTTTGGTAAACAAATTTGTCAAACAAAGTCTTGTTCATATTTATACAAATCTAAAACTTTAGATTTCCGAAATTAATACAAATGATAAATTAATTTTTTTTAAATTTATTTCATCGATAATAACAACACGTGGCATTTTAATTTACAATTCGTCATTTGAGTTGTTAATAGATTATTTTGCATAAAATACTAATATTTCATTTCTCTTTACGAAATTTAATTTTAAAAATATAATTTCTATAATATAATTCACCCTTCTCACTCTCAAGCAATCGCTCTCTCCCTTTGACTTTGACTGTGACATATCAATTACATTAATTGTGTTGCAATATAAATAATTAATTACAATTAAAATTATATAAAAATTAAATAATAAAACAGTTTTATTTTACTTCACCTTCATCAGGAATCATAGAATATTGGTACTAAACAAAAATCCGTTCGATAATAATTTAGGGGATGGGGACTTCATTTTATACGTAAGCATTTACCTGCTCGTCAAGGTTATCAGTGTTATGCTTCTTAAACGATGATCCCTCTTTAGGTCTTTGGAATGACGACGTGGGTTGGACATCGGGCTGTGATTGCTAAAACCCAGAAAATTTAAACGATAAAAAAAACAAATATTGAATCCATAAAACCTATTAAACGAAACATTTTGAAGTTATGCTTCTTTTGGCGCGTTAGGGAAAAATGATGAGAGTAAATTTTTACGATGCGCGCGCACACCGTCACAAAAAACCGACACGATGAACATCGGTAAAACAAGCTGAGCCGCTAGTTGGCGCTAGGTCTGTTTTATCGACAAGTTGAATTGTCTGTCATGGCGTAGTGTTTTTCAGAGTCGTGTTATTTAAACCAAAATAATGATTTCTATACGAGAAAACCCGTTCCAATGTGATAAAAAACATAGTGTTTATTGTAAAATATCATGATTAGTACATATTATATCGTTTCGATTGGAAGTGACCATTAAAATGGACAAGAAAAATGCAGTTCGAAGAGGGAAACGTCCCTCTAAAGTGTTCGAAGAAAATTATTACGCCAAAGAAGAATAACTTCTACATAAGTACACACACGTTTTTTTTTTACTGGATCGATCTATTGACTGAAATAGGTTTTAAAAATGCATAAAAACAAACTTAATCTGCGTTCTAAGTAACTACATAACAGAATGTTAGTACTGCAAACAATAATATAATGGTAACACTGAAATAAAGCATTTATTCACTGACCGTTATTAAAACCAAGAAAATTTTTATTTTTTTTAATCAACCATTGGTCAAATTGTCTTTTGACAGTTAAAAAATTAATTTAATATATTTTCATTTTTAATTTTTTGTATGTGTAAGACTAAAATGTATAGTTATTATTTAAATTAATCATTGCTGGTATTTTCTAATTGAATCTATAAAAATTCATAACGTATAAATAATTATAGATAATTCGACTTTGCGTTAATCTGTTAGACTATAGACTATAGCGCGGTCTATGACAAAACCTTTTTGACATGTCAGTTTTAGTCTACATCACAATTGTGTATGGCTTTACCTGTGGTATATTAGAGGTGACATCAGGCATATCGGACCTGGGTCTTCGGCCCTGGATGTGAATGGGAGATGAGGTCGCCATGCTGCCTTCTTGCTGTTATTAAACACAATGGGGTAATAGACGATCCTCAAATGCTTAAAAATGGTTTTTCAACTCTCAATAGAATATATTAAATAATAACAGATAATGTCATTTTAGTTGACGCTAAATTAAAAACTGTTTTTTACGGTTGTCGCATTGGTTTTAGTGGGTAAAGCCTAGATAGCCTACATAGAAATGTAGTTTAATAGAATATAGAACTTATCCAACCTAATATACCTGGGTGGTCACGAAACGTTTTACTATTGGGTTCAGAAAAACGTTATGGCGCGTTACGTCCAATAATCTCCAAAAATTGCGTGACGTAATACTTGAACGCTCCCTAACCTCCAAATGCGAATCCTCAAACACGTTGTCTCGAGAAATGTGCTTGACTCATATAAAAATGAAGAGGAATTTTAAACACTGCAAAATTTTGACCATATGAGAAGGAGGAAATAATGTCTTCGAGCACATTTTTAGAGATGACATAAAAACACGAGTTGAGCCTGACGTACAGAGCCCCAGCGTCTATGGCAAGAGAACTCCGAGATATTTGCTACTGTGGCTAATAAATGGACTACTCCTACATTAGATAGCCTAACGTTAATCAAAATAAAAAGTTAATTGAAAAACTACTTTTACATGCATTTGTGGCGCACCTAAACAAGTTTGCTATGGTTACATTTATACAAACCCCAGCGGTAGTTATTTTGATTTTATTATATTACTAGCCGTTTCGCGCCCGCTTTGCTGGACGATTTAAAATAAATTTTATGTTTCATTTTTTTTTTTCATATTTTTATTATTCTTCTTTTTAACTTCCCGCTAAGAAAATTGAAATATTTCGAAAATCGAGTTTTTAACAGATGTTGACGTTTAGAGGTTCTAGGAAGCCTCCCCGAATGTTTCCGCGGTGAAGTCCGTATGGATAAATTTTCATAAAAGTAAAACAGCAATAAAAAATGAAGGAACGTTGGCCATAAACCATCTAGGAAAAATTTCGCATCGAATGGTGGTAGTTTCATGTCGATACGATCAGTGGTTTAGGCGTGAAATAGCCTCAAACGAAGACCATTTTTCTTTTATATATATAGATTCAGTAAAATAAATAAAATTAATGACTGTAATATATTAATATATTAATGTGTAATAAGTCAATCTTTATTAACTGTTAAATCTCTAAGCACCTGCGCACCTGCACAGCCACCTACAGTTGACGTTTCACATGCTTAGTGTATAAATCGGTTATCGCAGCCCCATCCTCTCTAACACATCTGCATAATGTAAGGGTTTCAAATAGTTACCGAGTTATCCAACCATACGCAAAACGAAGAGTGTCAAATATAAAAAGTTACAACCCCAATCAGGGATTTTAAAACGCATTATTAAAGAATATCTTTGAGGATCGTCGTTAGTTGTTGGTTAGTTACTAAATTAATGTTACGAATGTCAAACACACATTTTAAATTTTAGAAAATCATACATAACACAACACTGGAATTAATCATATATTAGTTATATTTTTCGTTATAATTTCCAGTATGAGATAATTTATAATATTAATTTATAACAGACGAGATACCACAACTGAGTGTTTCTAAGGGCAGTTGTTGTGTGGTACCAGCTGCCCACTGAAGTATTTCCGAACCACATAGACTGAGGGTCCTTCAAGAAAAGAGCGTACCAATTCTTAAAAGGCAGACAACGCACTTGCGAGTCTTCTGAGAAAGTCGGTATCGCTTAACATCAGATGAGCCTAATGTTTCATCAAAAAAGAGAAAAAAGAGGGTATTTGGAAAATTGTCTAAGTAAGAAAGTGTTGGGTTTCGGAAATATACTCACTGTATGTTCAGTAACGAGTCTTTCGCTGTGGCTGGGAGAATGCGTCGCTGTACTACAGTCCACTGGCTTTACCGTCTTCATAGGAGACGCGGTTGTAGTATTTGGACGACGCTTTTCGCGACCCTGAAGAATTAATCAGAAGTGACTACAACCTTATATTATTATCACGTGTATTTTATTAACCGACAGAGATGGTAAAAATTAGTAGTGGTAACACTGCAATTTAACTGTATTAGCCGACTGAGATGGCAACACAGCAATTTAATTGTATTAGCCGACTGAGATGGCAACACTGCAATTTAATTGTGGGCGACTGAGATGGCAACCCTGCCATTTAATTGTCGCCGGCTGATCAACACTGCAATTTAGATAACTGTATTAGGTGACAGAGATGGCAACACTGCAATTAACTGTCACTATTGATTTTTTTATTACGTTAAAAATAGAAAAATTCAAATAACAATAGAACAAAATTAATTTTATAAACCAGTAGATGGTGAATACTTACTGGATTAACCAACTCCGCACTAAGACCGAGGTACTGATGAAGAGCTGTAAACGTCACACGTTGCAGGCGCACCATGATTATCTGAGGAATAAGCAAGCGATGAATAGAAATAAAAAAGTGCGTGCGTACAAAGTACACACGTCAGAAGTGAAACTTCTTTGGCAAATTAAGTCTTGTTCATATTTATACAAATCTAAAACTTTAGATTTCCGAGACTTAGAGGGAGGGAAAAAGGAAGATATGTTAGGAATTTAATTAATTTAATTGTCATAAAAATATTAAAAGTGTCAATTAATACAAAATATAAATTTATATTTTTTAATTTATTTCTTCGATACTAACGGCTGAACTAAAGTTAATACAATCTATACTAGAACATAATCTCTAATTATTTAATTAAATAAATACCTGTATAACCCTGACGAATATATCTGGATACTCCTTGAAAACCTCTTGAAAAGCGCGCATGGGCAATTTTATTACTTGGGAGTCTTCTAGTGCTTTGGCGTTTACCGTTTTGTATGGTTGAGAATTACCCTGTTATAGAAAGTGGACAATTGTTTTTTGGACTTTAAATACAATACAAACTTTATCACACATTAGGTCCTTATATATGAAATTGGCGTTTTGTATGGGAGGAACAAAAAGTAGATTTTTTTAAAATATAATATATTTAAATAGTCAAAGTATGTACCATTGCTATCTATGCACTTTTGCCATCTTATAAATTGATCCCTTTACTAAAAAAACCATTCGTACGGGAATCAATAAAATCTTTGAAGGCTGTTTCGACTGAGGAGATATCAGGTCAAAGTGGCCAATACGATAGAACGTCAATTTATTAAGGACCTAATATTATAAATATTAAATTACCCTGCACTTAATTTTTCAAACCATAACTAAGATGTCAAAATTCAATACGTTTTTGACATACATACATACAACTTTACAACTTTCTAATCATTCAATATTGTTTTGTTAATATATATCTTCCAATATATATTTCTGTGGAAACAGTGTACAAAGAAACATACCTTATTACAAAAGGCAGACTAAACATACTGATACCGTGTCTGTTACCATGGTTACCATTCATTATATGTATATGATGCCATTTATAATACAATCAAGATTTAAAATCATTATCATTTTCGAAATTTCATTTTAAAATTACACATACCGTCAACACATCGGTGAAACTCAAAAGCGAAGTAACACTTTCACCGGCTCGTACTATCTTCAACGATAGACTGCTCCCATCCTGGTTTGATATATACACATTCACGCGCCCATTTTGTACAACATACACGTTTTCGTCTGTATCACCTGAAAAATGTATTCATAAATAATCGTATCACCATATATTTTAAATGCAAATAATATATGAAGAAAAATGTAATTCATATTTTTAAGGGCTAGGGGAGTGCATTTTCGTTAGCTTATGACACGTAATACGATGATAATAATCTGTGGCCGCGCCATCTTTGTTCGTTTGGCGCCATTCGTATGTTACAGACTACAGTGCCACATACATTTCTTGGCCGGTAAAAGCGTCGCTGTCATGGATATTAGTATTGCCAGTAAATAAAAATTACCATTATAATTACTAATTTGAAGTCATGCAGGGTAACTTAATAATTTATTAAAATGTCTTAATAAAACAATGAATATCTAGAAAATACAGTTCTAGGCTTAAATAATTAATGTGACACAAACTCAGGAACAACTGATATGATAGGTTTTGTTACCTGTACTATTAATGTAACATCTCCTTAGATACTTAGCAATCAGAACCGTTCGATAATTAAAACTTTGCCATTGTAATTTATAATGCACAGAATAAAAATAAATACATTTTAATTGAATTTTATTAGATGTCGGTAGATAGTAAAATTATTTATTGTACGCACCAAAATGGCGACAGTACCAATTTCAGCCGCCGGCCAAGAAAAGAATGTGGCACTGTACATTCATATCTTGGTCTACAGATAAGACATGGGGGTATAGTTCTATGACTTAGGCCTACTTAAGGGAGACTAAATTTTAAAAAAAGATACCTTAGTTTTATTTATCAGGTTCTCTTTATTATATATATGTCTACTAGCAGACCGGCCAAGCGTTGCTGTGGCTAAGGTTTTTGTTATATTTCATAGTAGTAAACTATTCAAGGGAAACAGTAGGAGAACTTATGTGAAAGGTACATAGCTTATGTGAAACGTTGGTACTTTTAACACAGGGCCATCTGTTAGAATTGTATCAAATAATAAACAAATATTTGCAATAAAATAATATTGCGGGTATAAATTGAGATGTAAGCTATCCTATCTTTTAAGTGTGATCAAACTGCACACGGTGTGCAAATTTTATTGATATCGGTTCGGTAGTTTAGGAGCCCATAGCGGATAAACAACGTGACACGTAATTTATATATATTAAGATTGTGTGATTAATAACAATATTTTGACAAATATACTAATAGATAGGATATCATTACATAACAAATACGTCATTATTTACGATAATTTGAAATAAAATGAAAAATATTAAACCACAAATTATTAATTAAAATAAGTAAATTAGAGGGTAATAAAACTATTTGTTTTTGTAAAACAAGGATAATGGCACAAAAACATAAAATTTATGACGAATTTATATTTAACGTAAAATTTTAAAGTAGGATTAATTTGTATTTTGTTTCAGATATTCTATCTGATTTTGATCAATTATTCGATTTGAAAGATTATGAATTAATCGAAATGATTCATTTATTTAAATAAAAATGGAAAATAAATCAGTGGCGCTAACACCTTTTTAGGTCTGGGCCTCAGATTTCTGTATCTGTTTTATGATCATTTGTCTAATAGGGATGTAGGAGATCAGCCTATTCAGATTAGACTTTTGTGTCTAAGGCAAGCCGGTTTCCTAACGATGTTTTCCTGTTCACCGTTCGAGCGAATGTTAAATGCTAAAGAAAGTTCATTGGTGCACAGCCGAGGATCGAACCTACGACCTCAAGGATGAGAGTCGCACGCTGAAGCCACTAGGCCAACACTGCTCAACAAACAAATTTAAACTTACAAAAAATTTCATTATAATAATTATACTTACCAACTTTGAACAAAAACGAGCCGGCTGGCAGATTTATTATCTCCGTATGTTTGCACAGCATTAAAAACACTGGCTTCTCAAAATGGCCAAACACTCGGATGCTGTGAAGCATGTATAATGCGTCAGGTGGGACACGGTCGTCGCTCGTCAGATCTTCTTCCAAGTATTCCGCTGGTGGTTCAAGCACCTACAAGTATCATAGAAGTTGACTTTAATATATAGGTACTGTACGTAGAAATACGCATGAAAAATTTGAACAGGTCCCTGTTTGTAACTAAACGAAAGCGCAAGACAGATAACTACTACACACCCTTTCTGGTTTGGGCGTAACATTTCTGTCTATTTAGTGGTAATTTCTTTTCTAATATGTGAGTGGGTGATCAGCCTTCTGTGACACATGTCGTTCGTGTCTAAGGCATGTCGGTTTCTCCACGATGTTTTCCATCATCTTTAGTATTAAGTACGCACATAGTGTCACTCAACGAACGTACGACCTCAGGGATGAGAGTCGCACGCTGATACCACTATGCCAAATTCGTATTGTACAAATTTTAAGGAATGTAAATGTTTACCTGTCAAACATCCACATATTAACGAAACTATCGTTAGCTATGCAATCGAAACGTCAAAAAAGTCTATTAATCAACGATTTTTTCGCCCTATACAACATGGTAGATATATTTTAGACAATTTATACATAAACCATAATTTTGACGTTACATAGAGACGGTAAATGGAAAGAAGAAAAATCTGTATAAAAAAAAGTTTATTTCAGACTAGTGTTAGTAATTTTATAAAACTCTTCGTGATAAAGCACCCTCAAGCAATCCCAATTTGTAAACAAAAGAACGGATTTCTTAGAAAGTTTGGTACATATGATTCCGATAGCCGAGTTTATTACGAGCTAGGACAATACACTTACTTAAAAAGTACTTTTTATTATTTCATTGTCGTTTTTAAGAGTGGGTGTAATGCTATGTAGAGTGTATTATTGTATGGAAAACAAGCTCTTCGTCGTTAAATCGATTCGTTACATGGAGTGTACACTGTACATAATAGAGCTAATCGCGTAAAACGGGGAGGATGTCATTGTATCTCACTAGGAAGTAAACCATTTATGAGTTATAATATTTTTTACCTTTTTTTAAATAAAGTAAAAAATGCAACATCAAAAACGCTATTTTTCTGATTAATAAAGACCATTAAACACTTTTTATTTGTTCATATAAAAACAACAATTATTTACGCAAATAAAAAAATGGGAGAGATTTTTTGGGGTAAAATTATCACAAATAGTCTATCACCAGCAAACGGGAATCATTGCTGTAATAATAGAACGTATTATACTTTTAAATAATCTCGTAAATAAACTCTTTTGCAAAAAAAACCGGCACTAAAAACAATTTACATTCCAAGGTCGATTTCAGTTTATTAAAAGAAAATTAATTACGTCGGTTTTAAAGAATTCATCAAAAATTGCCAGAAATAAAATTGCCTAATTTAAACGATAATAAGTGTACAGACGTCAGAGAATTAACTTAAATCGACTGTAAAACGTTAATTTTCTTAGGTGGCCATTTTTTATGAGTTTAAATATATTTTACACATATATGAAACCTAAATAATATTTGTATATATAGAAATCAATATAAAAGGAAAATGCCTAATCTTCTTCCTATATATAATCGCAATTTAAAACGTTATCGTAACAAGATAAATATAGATTGCTATCTAAAGATAGAATATTTTTTCTATTACGTTTTAAAAAAATTATTTTACCTTCAACTGTTCTGGAGCGCTTTCCTTCTTTAGCTGCAGTAATTTCCTCGCGAACCTCATAACAGCTCGCCTCTTCCGACCCTGGCCTGAGTTGGAGATGGACTTGACCTTCCTCAACATACGCCGTCCGTAGAAGAGCATTTTGTCTCGCTTCCTAAACCTTTTCGCCGGTTCCCCAGCTGCCGCGGCGCCTGTGCCCTCGGATAATTCTGTTGAAGAGAACAACTCCTTTATCATCACTTACCCACTATAAAAAAACGTAGCAATAAAAAAAGTGCGTGCGTACAAAGTACACATGTCAGAAGTGAAACTTCTTTGGCAAACTAATTTTTAACTCTTGTTATTATAACTCATATTTATGAAAATCCAAAACTTTATCCGAGACTTCGAGGGAGGGAAAAAGGAAGATATGTTAGGAATTTAATGAATTTAATTGTCATTAAAATATTAAGTGTCGAAAATTTATAAAAATTATAAATTTAATTTTCACGCCATGTTTCGTCATCATTTCAAATAGGCAGGTAAGTGATCAATCTTCGTGCCTCACACACGCCATCGACTTTTTGGGTCTAAGGCAACCGCTTTCTTCACGATGTTTTCCTTCACCGTACGTGCAAGTATTAAATGCGCACATAGACAGAAAGTCGATTGCACAGCCGGGGATCGAATCTACGACCCCAGGGATAGGCCGCACGGTGAAGCCATTAGGCATGTTTTAATCAAAAAAATTACGCGTCAACATTAACATAAATTATATAGCCGATGATGAATTACATTATATATATATCATTTACGAAAGAAAAAAAAAAGTTATTAAATACGTAATACCTAATTCGGCTGTGCTGTGTGATGCTGTGAAAGTGAGGGTATGTACGCAGGGTGTGTATTAATAATACAAACAGACCTCTTACAAAAACGGTAAGTTACAAATAACTTTTTAATGTTTTAAACTATTACCTCAGATTCACAAACGATACTTAGCGTTAACTATGACTTACTTATAAATGTGACAAAACATCAATTAGTTAATTAAAGGTTATTTATATTACTTAGAAGTAGTCTTACCTTTCGCTCTCCATCTTCTATAATAATAGATGAATACAACTAATAGTGAGACTAGAAGACATCCACAGAACGACCAGAGCAGCTGAAAAGAAAATATCATTAGTTTGTTGCCCGTTTAGGTAAAAAAATACGAATTAAATTAAAATATTATACTAATACAAAGGAAGGGTATTGAAAACAATTAACTCAAAATTATATAATAATATTTGGAATACTTCTATCGAGGCAAACATAAAAAGTTAACTTTTTTTATTAGAAGTACCTACCATATAATTGTCTACATAATTAAAACTCAGAGCAGCCACTCCGAATGTGAGAAAAAATTTCGCTTTCTTTTTGTAATATTTTTTGCGTAACATTTTTCGTGTACTGATATTTTTACCGTACCGTTATTCAATACAAGTTTAATCTTTATAGCGATGAAATAAAGATTAATTTATCAGCTGACAACATGATTTGATGCATTTAATTCCAATAAAAATTATCTAACAGTTAAACCCAGAAAATATTTTATTGCAAGTATTTTATTACATTTTTTTGCTAACTGTACAATATTCGTTTCGCAGACGACACAGCGCAACACACTTTAGAGGTTTGTCCGGCGTTGAGGTCTGAACGTAGCTATCCGCCACCTTGGGATTGGATCCGTCACTTTCCGTCATAGTGGCAGCTATGGACGTCCGGTCCACTTCCAAAGCGTTCTGTGAGGCCATCGTAACACTAAACGAGAACGCGGAGAGGGTTCGAGAGTGTAACCTAGACGCCGACCCTCAACGCAAAAAAAAGGCCTGGGATGTTGGGGTCCCACAAGGCTGCGTCCTATGCCCATATTATTCTGCATATCAATGATATGTTGCAACTTAGCAACATTCATTGTTATGCGGACTACAGCAGTTGGGATACTCTTTACACTGGCCGGGCAGGTATTTCTTGGGCAGTTGTCGATGAGTACCGGAACAAACTTGTGTCTGAAGTCGAAACTCTGCTATGAGGAATTTCGGACTGGGGTAGTCTAAATCTAGTCCAATTTAAGCCCAAGAAGCGCAAGTTTGTGCGTTTTCCGCTAAAAACACACCCTTTGTTGCTACTCATCTCTTCGATGACACTCTCTTTAAAGCCTCAGCTAGAAGCTACTGCTACTAGCTACTGGGCGTTGACATATCGAATGATGTTCAGTTTCGCGGTCATTTGGAAGGAAAGGCTAAGTTAGCCTCTAAGAAAGTTGGTGTGCTCAGCAAGGCGAGACGGTACTTCACTACCGGGCCACCGCTTGCAAATATATAAAGCGCAAATTCGGCCCCACATGGAGTACTGTTCTCACCTCTGGGCGGGAGTTCCCCAGTACCAGCTCCTTCCGCTTGACCGTATTTAACGAAGAATGATTCGAATCGTTGACGACCAGTCACTTTCAAAGCGGCTTGATCCCATGGCGTTGCGTAGAGATGTGGGTTATCTCTGCATCTTCTACCGCATTTACCATGCATAGAATTCAGAGGAGTTGTTCGGACTAATACCTGCAGCTGAGTTTCATCATCGGACGTCAAGGAAGAATACAAAATTCCATCCGTATCACCTTGACGTCCGCTCCACAACTGAGCGTTTCTTAAGGCAATTTCTGCCGCGCACCACCTCTATGTGGAACCAGCTGCCCACTGTAGTATTTCCGAACTAATTCGACTTAGGGTCCCTTGCACCTCACGGAACGACCCCCACACTCCCCGCGTCACCTTTAAGTTGCCCCGGCGCGGGTGTCTATATTTTAATTTCCCAACAATAAAAAAAAGGAAGACGAAAATTAATGAGCGAACTTATCAAGATGATTCAAATTTCTTTCACATAAGAACTATTTTAGTAACTTTATTTTATCAAATTAATCTTAGCAGGTTAGTGTCGTTACTATTTCATCCCAATCGTTCTTTATTATCCTTTAACTAGCCGTTTCGCGCCCGCTTTGCTGGACGAATTATTTTTTTTCATATTTTTATTATTCTTCTTTTTAACTTCCCGCTAAGAAAATTGAAATATTTCGAAAATCGAGTTTTTAACAGATGTTGACGTTTAGAGGTTCTAGGAAGCCTCCCCGAATGTTTCCGCGGTGAAGTCCGTATGGATAAATTTTCATAAAAGTAAAACAGCAATAAAAAAATGAAGGAACGTTGGAATTTAATAAATAAATAGCCATAAACCATCTAGGAATTTCGCATCGATGTTAGTTTCATGTCGATACGATCAGTGGTTTAGGCGTGAAGGAGCCTCAAACGAAGACCATTTTTCTTTTATATATATAGATCACTATTTAAGATAAAACGGATCACTGGCTTACTTATAATTTTTCTTTTACAGAAATATTGCGCGTCATTTGCTCAAAAATTCTTTAATCAATAGAAAATATTGTCTCACAACTTTTGTTGCTTAGTGAAGATGTTAATTCGATTCCCAATAAAACAACAATTGTAAATCATTAAAAAAAGCTGTATCAGTTTAACAAAACGTATTAAATATTATTAGTTTTAGAGTTGCCAAACCCAAACTCGATCACGGTTAAAAAACCAGTTAATTTAACATATTGATAGTAAATTAAGTGAGGATAATCATGAATATTGATAAATATGTAGTTTGGTTGTTAAAAATGTTATTGATGGCGTAATAAATCAATAAAATAATAGGAAAAAATATTCTTTCCATTAATTGCTACTTCAAATGTCAATTTTTTTTATGACGTTAAATTTTTAACATTTTATAGTAATATTGAGTGAGGTGAGGATAATCATGAATATTGGGATAAATATGTAGTTTGGTTGTTAAAAATGTTATTGATGGCGTAATAAATCAATAAAATAATAGGAAAAAATATTCTTTCCATTAATTGCTACTTCAAATGTCAATTTTTTTTAAAACTATGACGTTAACTATTTCTATTGTAGGTCTACCAAAATCTGATGGCAAAAAAAAAGTTAAAAAATTAGCGATTTTCATATGGCAATAAAACAAAAATTTCATCTGTCAACTGAAATTTCGAGGAATTGTTTTTGGTTTGGCTTCAAATTTCCTTTAAAAAGTGATGAAAATGTCGAAGAAACCTCTTCGATCGCAAGCAAGACATTGTGTTTTCAATGTTTATCAAAGAATACTTGATCAACAAGATGCAGAACATACACAATCATCGATATTGAGCCACGTGCAAGCGTTGACTGGTTAGTAGGAATGACACGTCTTGATATTTTGGTTTATGAGATTTTTTGTGTGTATTATATTATGTACTTATACTAAACTTTGGTTTATTTCAGAGGTTTCTTATACTACAAATAAACTTGGAAAGTTTTTATTTAGAATTGATCAGTAACAAGATAAATGAGTTTTACACTGTTTCTTTCTCTCTAATAGAGATCGATGAATGCCGAAAATCTTGTGAACATGTAATAAAAATTGAAAATCAGTTCATAGAACAAGATCGGTTAATTGAGATGCAGGAGGAAAGGTTTATCATTAATACTGCGTTGAAGACTTTTTTATGGATGTGCAGTATTTGGAACAATTTTCAAGTTCTTAATTAATTAATTAACTCATGAACAGAGTAATTGGAGTTTTCATCTAAATTTCAAACCCCACATTCGCCACATTTTCAAACATTATCTTTGATCATTGGATAAATTTTTATATTTGCATGTATCACACACAGAATCAGCCGCTATAAGGAAAAAAAACTATCAAAACGTTTTACGCCAATTTCCCCAGTATTGCTAGCGTTCCCTTTTTGCCATCAGATCCTGGTAGACCTATAGTTACTGTGTGGTGCGTTAAGGGGGCCTTTAAGGGGGTTACTGGAATATGAAACATATTACCTTGAGAAAAACGGGTCATAATGGCTTACACAGGTAACACCAGGTTCACATTTTGTATACCAATTAATAATTAATCAATAGCCTTCTCTTCTTAGCGTATTTCCGGAACATGTTTATCTAACGATATTCTATAGAACAAGGTCAGTGGATAAATATGGTCAATGTCATCAAGACTAACTTCGTAGTTGATAAAGACTGAATTCCTATTTTAAAATTCAACCATGAGAATTTTTTAATGCAAAAATATTGTATCGGGATAATTTTTAGGTTAATTATTAACGAATTAAATGATATCTGAAGAATGGTTCGAGCAGTGTTTAAAATGTCAAACTTCAGGTAGAAGTATCAATGTGATATCCAGATTACTAAACACCTTGATCACAATCTGGTATTAAAACGAAATGGTTAAACTAAGTCACACTTAAACCGAAACAGCATTTGATAAAAACAGGATAATTACAGGATTATTATCTTCTAATATATAAAATTCTCCTGTCACAATGTTCATTCTCATACTCCTCCGAAACGGCTCAACCTATTCTTATAATTTTTATTATGCACATTCAGTAAGTCTGAGAATCCGACATCTTTTTTTTCATACTACTAAATTTTTAGTTTTATTTTGTAGACAAAACTTTTTGTAAATACATACAACCCCTAATTTTCACCCCTCTACGATCAACCACTATTTTTTATTATTGTAGATAGTTATTTTTATTGAATTAAAAAAAGTTTCCTAGAAATAATATACATGACAAAACGAATGTTTTCCGGTATATTATTTACTAGTAAAATATATGTAATAGTTTGATAAGCAAAAACAAAATCTCACAAGAAGGAATGTATAGAATCTGTCTGCGCCAATAACCATATAGGTGATCGAAAATTGTACACAGTGATAAGACACTCTCTTAGGTTACTTGGTTCTGAACTTCACATCTACAAAGCTTTTTTAATTTTGTTGCGTTTCTAATGCTATAAAAACTAATACATATTTAAAATTCATTATAAATAATAAGATAACCTTTGCTACAATGTAAACACAGAGACATTCATATACAAACACTACACATACCCCATAAAACATTGTTAATCCAAACAACCAATCACTTTAAACTCGCGCGAATAACTAACACTTGTGTCCTTGCGCGTCTTTGTATTGCGAAAGGACTACTAGGACTAGTAGTCTGGGAAATTACAAATACAATATATTTCACAAAGTTGTGAACTTTTGAAAAATATGTATTATGCGGAATCTTAGCCTAGCCTAGTTTATTAAGGAATATTTAACATAACAAAATGTCAAATACACTACTTAGTCTCTATTAATTGAACCCACTAATGTGCAAAAATACAATAATTATAAAAAGAAATGTGTTCTAATTATTGCATTTCCTAAGGTCTAACTTAACCATAATTAAAACAAACATAGTTATAATGAAAGTTACAAAAGATGCAATAAATCATAACAAAACTAATTTTATAATAATGTATTTTACTTAAATAAAGGCTTCTTATATGTGGAAGAAGAGAGCCGCCAACTGTTTGGCCCTGCAGGGCAAGAAGCCAGAGAAGGAAGATCCCGTGGAATTTATATTTGATGGGTCACTTTTGACTTGTAAAATACACTAATGACAAATTATAGAATTTTTGAAATTCTAAAAAGATATATGGCTATCAGTTCTTTACAAAAGGTAATATAAAAAAAGTGTGGCATGTTTAGATTCCAAAAACACAAACAGAGTGCAGAAAGTGCTGAAATTTTAGTATAAAATAATTAATATTAATTATTTTAGAAAATTGCTGCGTATTTAATTGATCTCAAAAAGCATTAAAAAAAATTTATCTAGGAAAACTAAGACAAACTATGTTCATTGATTTGTTTAATACTAATTTTCTATCAATCCTCGCCCATATATTGTTTGTTAGTTCAATAATCGCATAACAAAGGCCAAGCAGAATTCATAAACTTCATAGCAAGCAGAATGAATTACTGACAGTTGACGAATGATTTCAAGGGTAGTTCTAGCTATTATTAACGACTCCCCCACTTATCTTATATATAAAAAATGTGCAATGACATAACTTTATACAAAAATAATTAGGACAAAGAACAAAGAGTAAACAATACAAATTATTGAGAAAAATCAATATCAAACTTACTTGATTTTCTTGGAAACTATTTGACCACTCCGACGTCCAAGTTTTTACAGCAAACATGTCTGATTTTTTATTTATATTATTAAGTAGCCCAACTACATCCATTTTTATATAAATATTAAAATGCAATCAAATATTCAAGTAAAAAACAAAACAGCCCTAGCCCACATCGGGCATCAGCTGCACAGATCGAGTGATCAGCTGCTATTTGACAGCCTACAGAGCTAAAACTTAAAAGGTCAAACCATAAACAACAGTCATGCACCCAATCAACAAAAGTAATGTGGGCTGTGTGAAGAGATTTGTGATAGATTCGGAATGTAACACGGTACAATTTTTATGTTTTACAAATAAAATTTAACATTAATATTTTTTATATACTTTTTTTGGTTATTAAATATATACAATTATGTTTGCGTTATACTCAATCAATAAGTTTTTAACTTGAGTTATAATCAGAATTATTATTTTCGAAATTGTCACTACACCTCAATTCAATGTCAATTGTCCTTCCGTTATCTATTTATTTAATATTCACTTAATTTGGATATAAAACCACTTAAGGCAATTAGACACCATTGAGAATTTTTATTAAACTGGGTTTTTGTATTTGTGCACTTTCGTGAAAAGTAACATATAAAATAGAATAATATAAAAAATTCTGTGATTACTGATTACATTTATCAGAAAACACGTTGACTATCACTTGAACTAGAAGTATATATTTTAGGCCTTTTTTTCCTTCTAAGAATACATTCCCCAACCACGCAACGTACTTTCACAAAACCGAAGTCCAATCCCGCAATCATCTGGAAGAAAAAGTCCTGGGAAATACGACCTCCAATTGTTTAAGAAAAGTGCATACTCCTCCCTCAAAGGCCGGCAACGTACTCACTAAAATGGGTGTCCATTGATTGCGATCTTTTTGGGCGTCCTGTAGGCCCCTCTATCCTATTAAAAACAATCGGTTGTCTGTAAAGTCGGTTTACTGACGATAGTTGAACGTAACAACGTCATAAGAAAATACTGATGGAATGGTTGCATTTTTCAAAAGAAAATTTCAATTTTATTTGTTTGATAGATATTTTGTATGGATATAGAGAAGGAGGTAAATGGAAATCACAATTAAATTGATCAAGTTACATTTATTTGTACGCATAAATACAATTATGTACATTTTTTAACGGACGAATGCTGCCGAACGCGGAGGCCGATTGTGCCTCTTTTTCGCTCGTTCCGCGCTCTCGCTTGCACTTCAAGCCTTAAATGGAACGCCTCAGAGCGAGGTAACGCCGCATACGTCAAGAGCCAGGTAACGCCGCATGCGTCATGTTTTTGAAGTGACAACGTCTTATAATTCGATGGAGCCGGCTGCACGCACGAAAAAACATGACTCATGATCTCAGTGAGTAGTAGAGAGACAGATGTCGACTATCGTCAACTATCGTCAGTAAACCGACTTTACAGACAACCGATTTTTTTTTTCATGCGTGCAGCCGGCTCCATCAAATTATAAAGCCCCCATTACACAATGGCCTGTGATGGGCCACGCTTTGCAATGCACAATTGTAGGCCACGATCACTTGGTGTTCACACAATGGCGCATGGCTCATTGCTGCCTGGCAAACCACTTGCGATAGACGTCGAAGTAATTACGGCTGCGGCTATTTATTTGTATACTGTTTACAAGTATTACAGAAGTGTGTACCGTCACAAAGTTATAAAAAAAGAAATGGCGAAAAAGGCGATGGTGGATGCTGACCATTCATCGAAACAGGACAAGGTACGTAGATTTTTTAATGTGGTACTTAGGTTATGATATTAATATTTAGAATGAAAATTCTAGTTCTAGCACGAAACACAAAAGTGTACTATCCCGGTCAGCGGCCGGTGACGAACTAAACAATGGCCGATTGTGTAAACACCACAGGCCACGCTACGCCACGATTCCTTTGAAGTGTGCCCAAAAAACCGACAACTCCCCGATTGCGCGCCACGATTGACAATTGTCCGCCATCATATACCATTACCCCCTGTACACAATGGCGATGGCCTGTAGTGGGCCCGCATGGGCCATTGTGTACTGGGGCCTTAAGATGTCACGTCAAAAACCGCCTCTCTAAACAACGATTAACAAGCATGAAAGCATTAACGCAAGCGGGCAGCGGCAGATTTGAAATGAAGAGTGATATTAGTAGACAGTAGCAGCTCTAGTTTATACTCTATAGTCTATAACCACTCTATACTCTAGTTCAATTTTTCATTCAATAATCAATTGACTACGTGGATAGTGATCGCATGTGCATTTTCGTGATTTAAAAACTCTTTTGCGTTCTACTTCTTTTTCATTTCAACATTTAAGTGTTTAAAAAGTATTCTCATCTCGTGATTTTTATTGGTAAAAAGTAAGTAGGTATATCGCGAGAACTCAATGCACTTTTAACGTTCTGTCTCGGTGCACTATAATTAATTTTCCATTCAATATGGCGTTCATTAATTTTGTAATGTGCACTATTTTCAGATGTCTCGTTATCGAGAATGGGATCTTTCTTGCAAAGTGTACGTGGGAAACTTAGGCACCAATGCATCCAAGTATGAAATTGAGAAGATATTTTCTAAATATGGTAGCATCAGAAACGTATGGGTTGCAAGGAATCCGCCCGGTTTCGCGTTTGTCGAGTTCGAAGATCCACGTGATGCTGAAGATGCAGTCAGAGGCTTAGATGGAACGTAAGTATCTAAAGTTATACATACTGAGTAATGTAGTATGAATATAAATAACAATTGCTCTAGCCTATTAATTTCATCACAGTTTATCATAAATGCCGACTGCCGCCATCTTGATTTCTATCTTTGTGCTGAAGAAATATTTTGTAGGTACATTTTAATGTGCCAATACTTCGGCTGCTTAATTTTATATATAGCCTATTTATTATGGCGTACTATATTTATAGGACGCCTTTCGTCGTTTCGAATTACGTAAATTTTGCCCTCCTAGTATTATAATCACATGTTAATAGTTACTTACTGCCAGGCTTTAAGTATAGAAATTTTTTTGATAAACAGAATTTGCACGCTCCTTAGATCCGTTTCATTATCGATGTGAAACGCTTGAGTCATAAGTGTGCAACAGCATGGTACCTCCACTTTAAGACTGAATGTGGGCTTTTCTAATAAAAGTTCAATAGTCTTAAAATGGGGAACAATATTTTCATATTCATGTTTTTTTAACTATACAAACCTACGGCAAGGGAATAACTGAGCAAATAGTCTATTTGACCTTTAAAATACTTATAGGAGATGCTGCGGTACAAGAATAAGAGTGGAAATGTCAAATGGCAGAACACGACGGGACCGCAGGTAAGTTGTTTTATAAAAATAACATCAAAATGTTTCCTATTAACTTGTATATGAAGCTTTATACAATACTTTACAAGTTGTAGTTACATCAAAACCAATATTCATATCCTATCTTAAAAGTTATAATTTTTCCTATAGCATTAGATTACATTATTATTATTTAATAGATAAAAAAGCTGTAGTAACTATCTGTGTACAAGAATAATATTTTGTTAAAAAAAATTATAAATATTTCCAAAAATGTATTTTACTATCTTAGCCATATTTGAATTGCTCATCTATTGCTTTTAAAATCCATAAGATATTGCTATATCAGATATGAGTATCAAGGCAGCACTAAATGTGGTGGGTGTTGGAACGTTTACAGGTCCATTTTATCAACCAACCACCAACACACCACATCTCTTCACAACTACGGCTTTATTTCCGCGACCGTCGCCACCATCTGCGAACACAACCTACGCGCCGAAGCCTCCGCGATCAGCGGCCCAATTATCCTCATGACAGCTATCACCTAACCCCGACCTCCTTAAGGACTTACACATAGTAGGAACCAATCCTTGCGATCCTCGATGCTTCACTGCCAGCACACTAAATGGGGCACCAAATTGAAATACAACAGCGCTCAACTAATTTTTTCGCGAATCTTGCGGTTAAAACATCATTTGAAGATTATGTCCCCTTCGGCCACAGCAGCCACGACGACCTACAAGGCTCATCAGTCTCGGTACTTTTTGAAACCTATACTTAGCACTGCCTAGCCTGTATGCCTAGTGGTCATTACAGGATGTTAGTATCTAAACATAGATCTCTTAATGTATCATACTGATAGTGAAGAGAAATGGTTGATAATGTTATAAGATGAGCTTTAATTAATGAAATACTTATCTAATCCATAAAAACAATTTTTGATGTCACTAAATACAATTTATAATAGTCCACATATTACAGAGCAGCAAGGTTTTATAATGATATACCTGTATATAAAATGTTATTTCTCCAGAACCCGCAGTCGCAGTCCACGACGGCGTTCTTACTCGCGTGGCAGATCAGGCTCACCTCGTCGGTCACCCTCCGTGCGCCGTCGGTCACCGTCTGTTCGCCGGTCTCGTTCCCGTGATCGTCGCAGCCGCTCAGATAGCAAGAGCAGGTATAATAGCCCCTACCGTCGGTCACCATCACCAAGGCGCTCCATTGAGCCACGTAGCAGATCAAATAGTAGGAACAGGTATGTTAGCGCATCAACATCTGAGCAATGATTCATCAAATTATTGTAAGAGTTTAATATTTTGTTAGGATAATAAATACAAGGATTGAATACTGGAAACTGGTATTTCAAACTGGTACTTCCTAATAAAAATTTTGTTAAAGTAAGATATGTTAATGAAGTCAGTAGTAAAGTACAAACCTATGGTAAATATAATTTACAATTGCTTCTAAATATCAACTGACTTTTATTTATTAATATTTTTTATACTTTCAGATACTGAAAAGATGACAAGTGATTTGTTGAACTGGACCATGGTTTTGAACTAGAGCAAAAATGTGTGTGATAGTTATTTAAAGATATCATTTCCTTGTTTATAGCTACTTTAACTCAATTTCTTTTTGTACATTAGTGTTATTGTATATTTTTATTATTATACATTCTGTAATCTTTTTAAGTAGGGACTTAAGTTAAGGAATTTTAATTAAAAAATTTATATAATATAAAACAATAGTTTTATTCAGTATAAACATGACAAAATAAATTCGATACAAGGTATTCATTTATCAAAATCAGATCTTTAAAAAATATATTGTATAAAATATTACTATTTCTTCTTATAACTTCTAAGTGGTTGTTGCTTATTAACAAAGAAATAAAAATAAGTTCCAATTACTACAAGTACTGCTCCAACTACATGATAAATTGTCAAACTATTCTTGAAAACTACAGATGAAATTATAAGCGAAACAAACTTTCTCACAGTCAATATAAAAGTTACTGTGACTGATGATTCCTTTGTGCCCAAAATGTGGACGGAATTTGCACAATAAAATTGTGCTATAATGTTTAAAACTAGGATATACCACAAGTATGATGGAAGACTAAGTGCAATTGCACCTAACTCTGGCATTATTATCAGGAACAAGGGTAGAGGTATTGCATGTGTGTAAAACAGCATCTGAAACAATAATAACAGTTAGCCAAAAATTCTAAAACCTTTATATTGGTCAACTATCTGGCAAACTTGATTCCAGCTCAAATAATGAACAATGCTACAAACCCAGGATTTTGCTTAGAGTTGTTGATTTTATGATAGGGAATGGTTTAATTTGGAAACATTTTATATTTTTTGTCTCATTTTATATCTCCCCAACCCGGCTGGTCCCCGTGGGGAGTTAGACCAAAACCCTCCAACATTGATCTAAAATTAATAGTAGTTATATTTACTATTATAACTAGCTATTACCACACTAATAGTTATTAGTAGTTATTGACCATTTGGCAATGAATAGAAGCATGATGGGGAAAAAAACTTTCTGACAGAATAAACATATTATCAACAATAAAAAATCACACAAAAACAAAAGACTATAACAATTAAAAAACTAAAATGGAAGTGGGCTAGAATGGAAGCAAATCATTAATGCATTGGTACACAGGTCACATGAAGAGCAAAAGGGGTAGACCATTCCTAAGGTGGATTGGTGAAATAAGAGCCGTGGCAGGTGGCACATGGACCCGAACTCCCCAGGTCAATAATTTATGGTTGCATTTGGAGGAGGCCTTTGCCAACAAAAGGCAAACAGACAAGGTTGTCGAGGGAATGTAAATAATCAACTATATTTAAGTTAATGTTTTTCAATACTAAACATTTATATTCTAGCTTAAGTAAAATTGTATCTTGTCTGAATAAAGGCTTATATTATTATTATTATATTATATTTTTCGTACATGTCAAGGCAAAACTGAGATAGGACTGACAGGTATAGGTCAAAAATGTTTTGGGTGTCATAGTTCACGCTAAGTCTTCTTTTTAAATCTTATCTTTAAATAGGACATAATATCCTATTAAAACTTTTAACACAACTTACCTCTTCAGGAAATTTGCCATATGTTGCATACAATCTTTCTTGCTGTAGGCCAGTAAAAGCACCAGTAATTAGAGTTGTCAACAGTATCACAACACCAATACACCAATGTAGGAATTTAGTTTCTTCTTCAATTATTTTAGCTCCGCCATACATTGCAATAGTAACACCGCTTGAAATTATAACAGACCCAATTATTGCATTAACTTTTGGCACTCTGTTTTTTACGTACCATGCAACTAACATGCTAGCTGGTGATGAAGCTGACCTTGAATATTAAAATAATGTCAATCTTGTGATCTTATGTAACAAAATAAAACATACATAATTTGCATCAGAAAATTGCATTAACAGCAAAAATCTAGGTAGTGGAATGAATAACATATATGTGGTTGGGTTTGTGAAAAATTAATTACCTGATTATCATATGAAGTGTGGATGCTACATGCAAAGCATACACAAAATTATTTGCCACACTAGTTACAAAAAACAAACTAATAAGAACAAAATATTGCCCAAGAGGTATTTTAGGTGTAAACTGTAAAAAATAATTATTAAGTTTCAATAAAATATATATATTTTAACTTCATTAATTAAACAACAAAAAAGTATACTTTTCTACATATAACAACAAATTATTTTTGGGTGAAAAAGTATGTCACTGCTTACCACTTTGTGTTTGATCTTCAGCAATCCATGTAAAGTTATACAAAGAAATTGGAGGAATGTTACTAAATTTGCGCAATTTGGATTTTTAGAGATCATTATTTCCATTAAAAATGCACTTAAACAACACCCGAAAAAGAGATTGAATGTTGATTTAAGGCTGACCATGATTGTTGTTAGTGGAATTTAATATTCAGTCAAATAAACTTATTTTCTCCAGTGATACTGAAGATTGTATGAATGTCACCGAGAACAAAGGCTGCTGTACTTAAACTGCATTTTATTACTGTTAATGTTAAGTGACTATATAAAAAAAAATTACACTATAAAAAAAATTAAAATACGTTTTATCCAATTTAAGAGAACAAATTACAAATAGCAACGTACACTGCACAGATTAACAAGAATTAGGGTTGTAATCTGAATCGAATTAATTTCCGGTGAATTAATAGAGCCTTTTAAATATCGGATTTCGATAGATAGATATCGGACAATGTACTTTGAATATAATCTAATTTAGGTATTTTACTATAGTATATTATATTATGACCATTGTTTACATTTTAATTGTAAATGAAATGGTGAAATTTTAAAAGCATGCAATGGTGAAATTTACGATCTAATCGCTGATAGGATCGAGATGTTACGATTACAAGTTGGAATAAAACAAAAAACGGATTGAACTTGAGAAAAACAACCTTGGATAAGGTTTAAAGTATGATTATTAGCCTTAGTTTGTCATCTGTGGGCTTAATAAGAGTTTAATAACTCAGCTCTGTTTTAAAAAAATACTATGAATTATGATAATACGAGTTTTAATTAGTGCTAATTGCTGAAGCGTAGACAAATCTGTTCATAAAGACCTTCATTTACTTTAAGATAGGCCTAAGTTTATTAAGCCAGATTCCAGATTTGTTCGTCCTAATATATTTTGTGTTTAGACTTTTGTGTTTAGAACATAAACAATATTTGATGTCAATTATCATATCAACTAATAAGTTACGCTCTAATATGTCACGATAAGACATATGACAGTACTATAGAGTTGTGGAGCTAGTCAAATGTCGATAACAAAAATCAGTCATTGTCAAACTAAACGACAAGCACAAGACAGTAGACAACGAATAAGGATTTCAGAAATCAGAGTAGACGGCATAATACGCGGCGTTCGGCCGATCGTTTAAATAATTTGAGGTGCAAATAATTCGCGCCAAAATGTTGACTCTTTTTCTCTTAAGTCGGGTTGTTAATTAAACATTTTCGATAAAATATTACGCGAAGTTCAACAGTTTTATTTTGTGTGAAATAACTAAGTGTTGTGCTTTTGTTACTTTTACTTTTACTCGCGTTTTGATACGACTGCACGATGCAAACCGTCTTGAATTTTAATTCTATGAGAGTGTATAATATTATGGTATATTTAGAAAAATGCTAAGATATCTAGTGGTATTGTTATTAGTTATACAGACATTAAACTTAGGTAAGTTACATTATATATACTCTTTACATTACAGATTAAGATATAGACTGTTAAATACCAATCTTGACGAGTTTAATTTTTTTTTAGAAAAGTATTTTAATTGTTTCCCTTCAAATACAAGCTTTGATAATAAAGAGTGTGGGATACAACTGTGTAAGTACAGAGCCAATCAATTTAGGGTAATATTAAGAATCGACACTCGCTAAGTATCCCATATGTCAAAAACTCATTGAATTCTTTATTTAATTTTTAAAAAAAGAATTCAATGAGTTTTTCAGACTCGCGTCCGTACGATTAGCAACCGTGTAATTTTGAGTTTTAAAACAAAGTATTATTATTAGTTTTAATAATGAACATTCAAATATTATTTGTGACACACGTAGTACTAATTTTTGAATTTAAATCCGAGGGTGAAATTATATTTAGCTTACCGTATACTATATAAGCATCCATGTAGTTACTATGTTACAAAACCACGACTTAACATTGCATTAACATAGTATTAATATCCAATTCAGACTTATCTTTTGCTTAACGCTTTCAGCCTATTTACAGACGTATTGAAGATACAATATCGCCAGTACTTGTTTATATATTATACCGGAAATATACGAAAATTTTGCCTTAATTGCCCTAATTTTCAGGCATCACAAGGTGTTCAAATAAATTTGTATCTTCTGCTTGCTGTATCAAGCCAGTCATATTAAACGAGAGTGACCTAGCGTCTTTGTATATTGTAGACATACTGTCTGAGCATTGTCTTTATTTTTGATTCAAATTCAACTCTCCCTTGCCAACTGGGTATTTCGGTATTGTTTACGTCAACTATTTTTAAACCATTCATTTTCTAGGAACACTATACGTTATACACTTTGTTATCTGTTCCTATTTCACCTTTTCTAAAGCATAAGAAAGACCAATAAAGAACTAAATCCGAATACGCAGAAATATTTGATGAATGCCGTTATGTGGTTCTTTCAGATCAACTATTTTTTTTCTTAGCTAGCTTTGGAGCCTATATAGAATAGAATAGATAGATTACACGAGATTTATTATAGAAAGCGGCGTTATTTAGTAGAAAATTGTTATTCTTTGGCTATTTTAGCCCTTACATTATGCTGTAAACATCTTGCAGTCTCACGTTGAATCGATCAGAAAGCACGTCAGGTTTTCGCACATTCATGAGCGATTGTTATTTTTGCTGTCTCAAGGACCTTGGAGCCACGCACCAAAGGTTCCAATCGACACGATTTACTGAATGAAGAAACTTGACACACATATTATCACCCTAAAAACCACCACAGTTTCAATTGAATACAGTTTAATCAGTTTGATATCTTTTTCCGCATAATACGCTAGTTCCAAAATTATTTCTCAAAGAATTACATTCACTTAGTGAGAAATTTTAGAGGTTCGTAATGTACATTGGTTTTGAATCTATTTAAAAATAAGCTATATAAAATAAAAATATTAGTTGCTAATGTACAATATTTTTTTACAAAAGTCTTTAAATAACAAATTTTAATATTCTTTCCTGCGTAATGAATTTTGGCAGAGTTCCTATGAAATGATCTTTACGGGGCTAACTGTAAGACGATTAAAGGTATCTATACTTTGCAATATAGTATTTAGAAACAATTGAAGTAGTCCTTAAAATTAGATATCGTATGGATTTTAATAGTTGTAGGATTTTATTTTTTCCACTTAATCAAATACATTACTATGTACTACTATTCTGTCGTCATTTGCCATATTTTCTTCCGGTTATAAAAAAATCGTGAGCTAATAACTGAAACTAATCGTGACTTAGTTATAAATCACGAAAGTGCTTAAAGTGATATACGCGCACTTGAAAGCTAAGCACTAGATAACAGGGTAAAAATAGACTATTTCATACATTACAATAATCAAGAGAATTTTGTATGATAGGAAAAGAATACGATTAACCGATTATTGATTCAGTAATTATCTAAAAATGCGTTTATTCGAATCAGATCATAAATATATAATTTTGAAGTTATACTTTTGGCGCGTTAGGGAAATATGAGTAAATTTTACGATGCGCACGCACCGTCACAAAAAACCGTCACCCTGAAGTTCATTTAGTCAACATTTTAGATTTTTCTATTGTTAGTGACGTTTTTTCTACAAACGTAGAATAAATTTTTTGAAAAGATTTTTATCTTGTTACGCCAAAGTATAACTTCTAACGCGTGTACATAACACGTTTATTTTTATGTAATAGGAGGCAAATGGGCAGGAGGCTCATCTGGTGTTAAGTGCACCGCCACCTATGGACACTCACATTACCAGAAGGCTCGCAAGTGTGTTGCCGGCCTTTCAAGAATTGGTACACTCTTTTCTTGAAGGACCCTAAGTGGAATCGGTTCGGAAATACTTCAGTAGTGGCTAGTCAAACGGCAAGTTCTTTCAAACACTGCGTTGCAACTGTTTCAAAATTTATTATTCATTTAATTCTTAATTGACAAAGGTTGGCTATTAACAAATTTAATTTCATCAACATCCCCTTGATGGAAGTCTTCCACAGTCCGTTTCACAAGGCACTTTTTTTTCGAACTAGCGAACTGTGGAATCGACCCCCAGTGGGAGTCTTCCCTGAGAGATACGACCTCCAACTTTTCAAAGTTAGAGGGTACTCCTACAGGCAACGCACCCTCAAAAATTGGGTGTTTATGGGCTGCGATGACTGCCCCTTATGGGCGTCCAGTAGGCTCTTTTGCCCCCCTATTATATAAAAAACGAGAAAAAAGTGCCTGCGTTCAAAGTACACATGTCAGAAGTGAAACTTCTTTGGCAAACAAATTTTTAAGTCTTGTCATTATTTATACAAATCTAAAACTTTCCGAGACTTTAGAGGGAGGGAAAAAGGAAGATATGTTAATTTACAATTCATCATTTGAGATTTCAATAAATTATTTTGCATAAAATATAAAAAACTAATATTTCATAAATTCTCTTTACGAAATTTTAATTTTAAAAATAGATTTTCTATAAGTTAATTTGCCCTTCTCACTCTCTCTCAATCGGTCTCAATCGCTCTCTCCCTTCTCTTCGACAAAAACGCTGCACATCTTCGTGACGTTTCATCCGTAAAAAAATTTACCTTCATGCGACTTACTTTTTAAAATCTTTAAATTATAGTATGTATGAAACGAATTCTTCTCACGTGATGCTTCTCACTACGGACAGTTAGCTGCAAACCGTTCGTTGGCACACTTGAAACTTTACAGGCCAATAAACATGTGAAATTATGAAATTTACTATTTTACTTTTCATGCTTTTATTTGCTATTCGCATCGCCCTAGTTCCTTTCGCGCGTGTTGATGGTAATCCAGTCGCCATACACCCCTTTATGGGTCAAGACCGAGGTCAGGGTCTCAGATGGGGTTTTTTCTTTTTAGCAGCCTTTTGTGCCTGACATTGTGGAGGGAAATAGTCGAAGGGGTCAAATGTTGTTTAAGTATTGGTTTTTTTGATGGTAAGGGTTTGAGTGTCAGTCATGCTGCCGTACAATAATTTATATAGTCGGCTTTTTATTATATATATTTAGAGCTACATATATACATTATATATATATATATATTTTGACACTTTGAATATTATGACGTAAATGTTTATAGAACATGATTTTGAAATTTACACGATATATTTTATCTAATCTATCTAT